ATAATATTGCTTATCATTTAAATTCCTTATAAAAATGTTGATTTATTGCCTTGTTAAATCCCAATTAACAACGTTTAAAATCCCCCAAAGCTGTACGTTTTGTCAAGATTTTCTCTTCACTCTTCGAATTACAGTTTTAAACCGGTTGTTCACATCACTCATCTAATTACAGCCTCTAACGTAGTGTGTTGAAATTGGTCGTTCAGCATCTCTTCATCATTTCCTGTTGAGTCTTGCAGCGAACAAGTCGGTGGATGAATTTCCTCGCACTTCGGTAAACATGCAGCCCTTCGTTCCCCCTGCAGGTGTGTGTTTGAGAGCTGGCGCTGCGACGGCCAGGTGGACTGTAAGGACGGCACGGACGAGCTCAACTGCCCCGTCATGCTGCCCCGCAAGGTCATCACCGCGGCAACCGTGGGCAGCCTTATCTGCGGCCTTCTGCTGGTCATCGCCATGGGCTGCACGTGCAAACTGTACTCGCTCCGGACCAGAGAGTACAGGTAACCTCTGACCTGGGATACACTTTGTTTTTTAGAAAACCGGTTCGGCTTTCGGAATTTGATTTTGGTGTTTCAAGAGTAGAAAAATGAAAAAAAAAAAAAGTTTCCACACTTCTTTCTTATTACATAAGTGTTTTGTCACTTTTCATTGCTTTGTGTCTGTTCTGCCTCTGTTTTGTTTATGTTTTGTGCCCTTCCTTTCCTTCCTTCCTTTTTTCAATCCTGACTGTTTTAACATCCTTCCTTCCTTTGCTTGTATCTTCCTTCCTTCCTTCTTGGTATTCTTTCTTTGTTTCCTTGCTTCCTTCTTTTGTTTGTCTTTTCAATTTATGGCTATTTTTCTTTCATTACTGTAATTTCTTTCCTTGCTATTTTTCTTGGAGGAATTTCTAAACTCTAGAAGGCCCCAGTTAGTATGTTTACAGGCATTAATCCTGAATTCAAATACAGTATTACTGTCATATTATTGTAGAATTATACTAAGATTTGGAAAAATGCCAATGATGACTAATGAAGATTTCCAGAAAAAAAATCAGAAAAGAATGACTCACTCATTCAGAACAACTTGTATGCATAGTCGCTACACAAGACTCCACTGCTGAAGAAAAGGCCATTTTTAAGTTCGCTGACTAACATTAAACAAACTCTGATGACTGAAAAATCTGAAATGTTTAATTAAAATATGACACAGTCTTGTTTGATTGATTTTGTTAGTTTGAATCATAAATTTAGGATGTTTCTTACGAGACCTGAAACTGCAGTTCCTGAACTACTTTATGATTGGGTTGCTAGTTTGAATCAGCAGATGTACCTTTAGTTTCCCATTAGGACCTGCAGATGAATCCTCACAGCGGTGTCTGTTCACTCTGCAGTCAGTCACCTCAGGAAAGCAGGAGAAGTTTGTTATGTTCTGGCTCGTCTTGGACCAATGAGTCACGATGACTGTGCTTATAAAAGTGGACAGCACTTTTTACCAAATCATTAGGGCTTATGAAACCCTCTAAACACACAAACATGAAATTAGACTACAAAGCAAGGCTAACCACACTAGGATTTTGTGATTTCTCGAGGTTCATTTTTCTGCTAAATGAGAGATGTGTGCTGACATTTCCTGACGTTGTGTGAACGCCTCTGAAAGCGTCTGTGTTTCTTGTGGCAGCATGTTTGCTCCAATAAGCCGCTTGGAAGCAGAGATGATCCAGCAGCAGGCTCCTCCGTCCTACGGCCAGCTGATCGCCCAGGGCATCATCCCCCCGGTGGAGGACTTTCCCACAGAGAGTCCTAATGAGGTCAGAGGGCAAGACATGACATCAGCTTTACATCTGATAAAGATTCCAATAATACCTGGCCCTTAATTCCATAAAGATCCAATTTAGCTGGTATTTAGCTTTATGGCATGCAGTCAGGTGATGATGTCTTTTTTGACCAGTGTCCTTGTCCCCCGTTTGCTCCTCCTTCAGACCTCGTCTCTGTCTTTGAGGGGAATCCTGCAGCTCCTCCGTCAGGACGCCTCCAACTCGCCGCACCGCAGGCGCCGGCCGCGCTTCGTCCGCCGCGTCGTTCGCCGCATGAGGAGATGGGGCCTCATCCCCAGGACTTCCAGCAGACAGAACCAGACTTCCGGCTCCAGCCAGCAGGAGGCGAACTCTGCTGCCCCCGGCCAGGAAGCGACCCAGTCCGCCCTGGTGCGGTCGTCGCTGGCCGTGGAGGCCGTCAACCAGCCGGTGCCTCAGAAACTGGGCCTGCTGGCTCAGACTGAGCAGCAGCAGCTTCGGGGGGAAGAGGCGTCTGCTCCTCTACTTCCTCTCCCCTCTCCGCCCGTCTTCTCCACCCCTCCCCCGCCTTACGCCCCCCCAGCTCCCCCGCAGACCCCTCCAGTCGCCGTCCCCCCCAGCAGCCCCTCCCTGGCCTCCATCTTCCACACAATAGGCCTGAGTATTTCCCTCTTCAGAGCCTCACCCCCTTCCTCCTCCTCCACCAACTACATGCCTCTTTCGGCCTCTCCTTCCTTCTCCTCTTCCTCCTCCTCCTCAGACGACGAGGTGCTGCTCATCCCGCTGTCCGAGGACAACGCATCAGAGGACAACGCATCAGAGGACAACGCCTCAGAGGACGACGTTCCCATGCTCACCTAAAGTGATTTCCTCGCGCCTCGTCTTTCTCTCCTCTTAACTACAACCCAGTCTTTCCACCTCTGTTTGACTCTGAGCACAGGAGCGTCCCCTAGCGAGACTCTTCCTCCCTGTGCACGTCCGGTGCCTTTTTTTAAATCGTTCCGACTTGTCGACACTTTAAATCTGTTTTTGAGGACCTCCCTTAAAAACGAAAAATAAAAACGACGGCCATAGCTTACGTACGTGGAGACGAGTTAGTTTCGGATGCACTTAGTTAAATAAAGCTTGGCTGCAAAGAGAAGGGAGGCTTTTGCACAGAAGGATTTCCCCTGATCCAGCTACTGAGGCAGGCTACTGTCAGACTGAATGATGGCGTCTGTGTGACTGCAGCTGCGTGAATGAGGTTGCATTTTAGTCTTGCGATAGACTGTGTGACTGCGTGAACTTCTGCCACTCGCATCCAGTCTGTTAGCTGAGAAATGTTAGCAGAAAATAGTCGTTTCCCCTCCGTCTAAGTGCCTTTTAAGGAGTTTCCTGTAGACAGCTGAAGTAAATCAAGACGTCCTGGATTTTCACCAACGCACACAGAAACACCCGCAGGCTCGTACTTTGCTTCACGTGGATGCACGTTATCGACACTTTAGAGGCTTTATTATAACTTAGAGAAGAAAAAAAAACAATTGCATGTGTACTCCTCTGCAAGCCGGCAATAACTTTTCAAAACGTTGTTTTAGTGCAAACCCGTCGAAGTGAATCTTTCCCATGTGGATGAATGTAACCAACAGAAAGTAAACGTTTCCAGCGACAATCTATTCGGTGCCTGACGTAGTGGCAGGTGTGTGCAAGTGTGACGAAGAGGGCCCCGAATCCTCTAGACGACCTCAGCATCTTACAGGACTCGATTGCTTTCTGACACAGGAGACTTGTGGCGTGCCATCCGTGTTCTTACCGTACATTTTAAGGTGTTTTAATTCCAGAAACAACAGATCTTTGTTCTTTTGTTTGTTTTTTTTTCTCTCCCCACCTCCTTTCAGTTCTTCTTGTGTTTTAATCTTTGCTTTGTTGAATGTATTAGGATCGATGTGGGGTAGCCAGAAGTTTTCAAATTTGCAATGTATTTAGGTAAATAAAAGAGAAAGTGGTTTTATGATTTAATAAGGTCATCTTCACTGTATATAAGTAAAAACGTGGCTCAGATTAAACAATTTGCACTTTTATGCGTCGTCTAATGTTTGTTTTTAAGGGGGGGGGAGTTGCTCTCATGCTGCATTGTTCCTTGTATTCGGGAATCCTGTGAAAACAAACGCATACTGATGAGTTAACTCCGTTTGGAAACGTCGGAAGGAAGACAGAAGCATTTCAGGATAGATGGAGTCACATCTGTTTTCCAGCTGAGTAATGGAAACATCTGGAGCTGCAGAGGTAAAAATCCAGGTACGTGATCTCTGTCTGTCTCCTTTAGAGCATGCGGGTGCTACCTGCTCGATTGTATGAAAAGCTGCCTTCCTTTAGCTGATAAAGCAGGAAGTGTAGTAACATCTGAGCTGATGTGAAGGAATGCTTTTGTATAAATGTTTCAGGTTTTAAAGTTGGACCCATTTTCACTCCCGTGTTGCACACAAAGACTCTTACAAGTAAACCATGTTAATGCGTCCACAGAAAAATAAGTTTGGATGATTAGCTGCATTTTTAATATGGATTTCAAAGTCTAGTTCATCGTTTCAATTTTGCAGAACTAAATATTGCAGATTCTATGGTATTTTTTAGTTTTAGATTTTTCCCACAGTACCAGCATTTCATCATGATACGAAGCACCAGGTTCTCTCAGATCTTTATGAGTTATACTTTTTTTTGTAACTAACAAATTTTCTTCCAGGATTTCTCTGTATTTTACTGCATCCATTTTTCTCAGCTCCATCCCTGTGAAGAAAAACCTTCCCACAGGATTCTGCTGCCACTGCTGTGTTTTACTGTACAATGTGGCCTTTAATTTTAATTAATTTACATCAACATCATTCATACACTGAGAAATTCAGTGCTTTACAAAAAGAAAACTAGATCAAACACGCTGAAAACTTCAACATCACCAAAAGGGGGAGAATAAAATGCAAAATAAAATGCTAAGAAATCATAAAAATGTAATGATAAATCAATATTTGACTTAAATTAATTCAAGAAACAAAGAAGTTCAGAAGGTAAATGTAAATATGTAGTGAAATGCATTTTATTTATAATTTTTTATTGATTGGATGTTTAGTTTTTCACTGTTGACAGGCATTCAGCTGCATCCTGATCAAAACTGAAAATCAAAGTCAAGCTAGCATCTTTAGCCTCAACTTTTTCTCCGTCTCAGAGGATCTGGGTTTGGACACTGCTGCTGGTGGCCATGTTGGAGGCTGCAGCCAAACAGAGCCGTGTTTCTGATGAAGCTCAGGTCAGCGTGACCAGAGCAGCATCCATGGAGCCAAGAACCCAGCCAAGCTCTGGACACCAAATCAGACATTCGAGACCTGAAGTCAAACAGAGGACATTTCTGGAAAACATAACCCGTCCACTTCCCTCCAGCATTTTGCAGCCAATCCGGATAAAAACCTGGAGGCCAGAGAAAGCTGCAAACTGTCTGAACCTGAGAGCGAGAGGCTGGAGGAGGCTCTGGAAGAGGCTGTGAGGGTGGTGTCGTCTTTGCTTTCAGGTAAAAAACAGACAAAAACACACCAACACATAGATGAAGACAACTAACTCAATCTATCTGATAGTGAACAGAACCGTGGGAACCTTACTGCTGAGCAGAGACATCAACAAATACTGCAAGTTTGTCTGGAGGAATTCAAGCCTGCTGAACTACGACAGGTTAGTGTCTAGTGTGTTAATATGCAAAGTCACCAGTGTTTAATATTCACTAAGAAATGCTCCAAAGATGCACAGTTCCAGGGCAGAAATATTATTAATCCATCTTTTTCTATTGAATTTACCAATAATGGTTTTCTGATACCAGATGTGGAAGAGCAAACAAAAACTACAGAACTGAAACGTGTCTGGACGTCACAGTGAGCAGCCAGTCCAGTAACTCTGCTGTTTTCTCCAGATGTTGTCGAACTAAACATCCATCATGTTTCTACCTTCCCTCTGCATGATCAGATCCCAGAAGAGCATCTGTCTGGATGCTACGTTTACCCAGAGGCCGACTCTTCGCGCAGGACCGTCATCAAATCAGAAGGAGCCGGACTCCCTGACACCGACTTCCTGCTTTACATCCATGTTCAAGCCACTGACAAATGTAGAGCAGAGGTAGACGTCTAAGTTGGTCCAAGTTTGAGTTTGATTATATCTCAGAAATGTTTTTGTAGTCTCTTCAAAAGAAGTCAAACTCTGATTGTCAATAATATATTTAACCAGATCAATAGACACCAGGTGAATGTGTGTAGTGTGTGACATGCTGAGAATCACTAATCAACAATTTGGAAAAGTCTGTTTTCCTGCTCACTCAGCCTGGCGTCCTCGCCTACGCCGTCCACTGCCAGACGGACGCCGGGGGACGTCCTGTGGCCGGTGTGGTGGTCCTGTGCAGGGACAGGCTGAGCGGCGCTTCCTGCAGCCACCAGGCTACAGTTCAGGTTCAAACACAGTTATGTGTAATTTCATAATCTCCTGAAATAATGTGTCTGAGTCGGTAAAGCAGAGATCAGGTCTCTGTGGTTGTGGTGCGTGATTTTCTGCTCTCCAGACTCTGATCCATGAGATGTTTCATACACTCGGCTTCTCCAAAGATCTCTTCAGCTCCTGGCAAGACTGTTCACCAGATCAAGGTTTTTATAAAACATCTGCTTCTCTCCTTGTGTCTTTTATTTTCTTGCAGCCTTGAAAAGCACAATCTCTTTTAAAGGGGCAGTATAATTTAAAGTTGACATTTTTTTTAACTTTACATTAAGTCATAAAATTATTTCTCATCACAAAACATGTTGGCTGGATTCTTTAATGCATGTTTGAGAAATCCAACCATTCGAGGTGCAAGCGTCTCAGCTCCTGCAGATTAGCCAGGAGCAAATTAGCAAACCTGGTGAAACTGCACACAAGCTGAGCTCATTATACAAACAGTGCATTGCTGGTAAAAATGTTGCAGAGATAATAATCGCGGAACAATGAGGTGATGGCTTGAATGGAGGAGTTTCTTAAAGAGACAGAGGCCCAATTTCAAGGTGTTAATTCACAAAGTCACTTTTCTTTTAAGTCATCCCTGACTTAAAAGTCATTTTATTGCGCTATAAAATTATTCTATGTGGCTGGAAAATGCAAACTGCCTCTTTAAAACTATCTGCTTCAGTTTCATTTCAGATAAAATAACTTCTGTTTCTTTTCCAATGTAGGAGCTTCATGTTCTCCTCGCAACAAAGTGATTCACTCAGACGGATCAGGACAGACGAGGATTTACACGCCGGCCATCGTCTCAGCCCTGCAGAGACATCTGATGTCCTCTGACCCTGAGCTGGGCGGGCCGCTGGAGAACCTGGTGCTGAGAAGGTCAAAGGTCAACAGCTCATTTATAACACCTGCCTGACTTTGACCTCCGGTCCTCAGGACGAATCTGCAGGCAAAGTTTCCTCCCACTGGGAGTCCCGGGTCCTGCAGGGATCCATCATGGCGGCGGCGCTGGGAAACCCGACCACAGTCCGCATCGACCCGGTCACGTTGGCGGCGCTGCAGGACACGGGCTGGTACTCTGTGAACCTGAGCCGGGCTCAGAGTCTGGTCTGGGGAGACGGTAAGAATCGACCTCCAGCGTGAAACAGACGAACCTGCAGGCGGATTCAGGTTGAATTTTATTTTATCAGGTGAAGGAGCCAAATTTGGTTCTGTGTCCATCTGCAAGGACGACTCCTCAACCTTTTTCTGCTCTGGAAGGTATTACGGTTTATTGAACTGGTACATCTTAACCTTTACCATTTTCCTTGCTCATTTTAGTATAAGGTTAAAGTTGCACTGCATTTAGATCTCAGCTGTAGTTTTGTTAGTCTTGCTATTATATTCAGTTACGCACACACACTGTTGCCAGTTAAGAGACTTATTTCTCATTGTTAACTTTTTGATAGAGTGTAGGTCAGAATCTGTGCACTGTTCATGGAAAAACTGGAACAGTGATTACACTTACTGTTACTCTGTTGTTTATATGGATTTCATTCAATGCAGCCCTCACTTCATCTGCATAAAACTGCAGAGACGCAAATGTTGCATCAACTATTTACATAATAATAATAATTTTTAAAGAACTGATGTTTAGCAGGAACATCAGTTCTTCTGAAGTATGTTTTTCCTGATTGCTCTTAGTGGAGTTGGATGTCACTTCCTTCACCTCCACAAAGGGAAATGTCAGACCGATCCGTACCTGGAAGGTTGTCGGGTCTATAAGCCGCTGGAGACTGGAGTAAGTTGCCATCTTTAGCAAAGAGGAAAACATTTTTTATTTCCCTTCTGTTTACTTTTATTATATTTTCCTTTTTCCGTATATCCACATATGCGTTTTCAAGTTGTTGAACTGTCACGGTTGGTCCTGTTACTTCTGTTAAAGTTTTTTTTGCTTTTGTTTTGCATCATTTTCCTCTTCTTCAGAGTGAATGCTGGAAGAAAGAAAACGCAAGATGGTCTGCAGAAAACTGGAGCGGAGAGATGTTTGGCTCTGACAGCCGCTGCTTCTTCTCCAGCCTCACCAGACAGGTGTGTCTGGTTTCTGCTGAAAGATATGAAAACCTTACAGGATGATGATGTCAGAGGAATATCAAAATACAATTCCCAGAATTCCAAACTTGGTTTTAGGTTTGAGCTTAATTAGATATTTTTATTATATTTTCCTTAAGTTTACGTTTTTGTGCATGTAGAGGAATAGATCTGGTAGTATTTTAAATATTGTTCCAAATACACTGACTGCAAAAAAGAAGCAGACATATTTTTTGTTTTACATAATTTCCTCTTCCTGTCTTTGTGCCAGGGAGGCGACGTTTGGACCAGCAGCTCTGTTGAGGGTCGCTGCTACAGACACAGATGTTCTGGACCCAACAGGTACCAGATCCAGGTGTCTGGCTCTGAATGGGTGGACTGCCCAGCAGGGGGCGCCATTCAGGTAAAATGACATTATGTGAACACAGCTTCTGTAGGGATTTCTAAAAATTATTCTTTTGGAAAATAAATGAATCTAACAATCAAACAAACATCATCTCTCCAAATAAAGACAGGTTTTCTTTGTCTCTGCGAAGTTAATATTATACATGAGCATTTTATTAAATTTTATTTGTAATTTAAAAATTGTGAAAGCATTGAACATGTGCGATCAAATAGTTTAACCCTGACAGGTGTGTCAAACTTAGGTGCATTAATTTTCCCTCTTTTTTGTTTTAAATATCACATTTAAGATTTTTTTTTTACATATTTGAACAGAGTAGACAGATTTATGTTTACCTTAGTATCTGAAATGTCTCATCAATCCAAAACCAGCCTGCTGAAAGAAAGACAGATGTGCTTAGAAAACATTCTTATTTTACCAATGGGTATGTTCACACAAAAAAAGAACAAAACATGCAAATGCAGTTTTTGTTCTGAAATAAACTCAAATGCAGTGAGTTATCACCTGCTTTACCTCAGATTATAATGTTTTTGTTGAAACCTGAAGGTTTTGTTTTCAGTAAAAAGCTTTAAGATTCAGTTTGGGTCTCAGTGGTTCTGTTTTTTGCAACACTGCAGAGCTTCACTCTGTACCGAGTGATATTCATATAAATTCCATATATGTGCAAATGAAACTTTTATCATGAATTTTATATCTTTATTGGTCTTTACTTCTTTATGGAAACATAAGAAATGTGTGAGACTTTTGGCTGAAACTCCACGTCTAACCATTTTCAGGATTGTGTTCCTGTACTCTCAGGTTAAAGGACACAGAGGCGAAGTGTTTTGTCCTGACAGACGGTTGTGTCTCTACCCTGATGTTTCTCCTCCTATAGACAGAAACTCGTCCTCTGGTTTCACCACATGGCAAGTATGACTTCAACCAGAGACTGGTCTGCTCTGCAGCATCACGCTGCCTCCACTGAATGAATATTTCTGGTTTCAACAGCGACCCTGATGGGACAATCATTTCACCCCAGGATGTGACCTGGTCTCCTCTCAGGTCAACTGCACCGGCCATATGGCTCTGCTTCGGTGCTGCTGTGTGCGTCTTGGTCGCTCTGCTGGTTTCGTACTGGAAGTGTCGGACCTGCGTGTTCAGGAGCGGCTCTGTGGCTCCGGAGGATCACAGCCAGCTGTAGAAAACCAACTTAAACAACAAAAAACAGAACCGTGACGCTGAAATCTGAGATGTTTTATGAAAAGGACAGGATGATTTTAATAGGTTGTTTATTTCTCATTTCAGTGGCAGTTAGTGAAAGTTCAATGAAAACACTGTGAACCTGACAGTGAAGTGATAAATGATAATATTTGAACAACATTCAGAGCAAACAAAAGACTTCCGTCAAGTAAAAGTCATTTTATTTGACAAAAAAAAAATGTTGCAATAACATTTTTTGATGAAGATGGAATCACTGTTGGTAGCATCTGTCTTAATAAATGTGTCTATCTTGGTTGATCCTCAAAATGCTACTTTCTTTCACAAGGTGCTAAATAAAATAATCACAGAAGTTAGAAATGTGATTAAGAACAAAATCAGTACAAAGTATTTCTAAATATATTTTACTTCTAGACAAGTTATAACTACAGTTTTAACGCTTGAATATTCACAAATGACAAACATTTTCTGTGCATGAAATAATTTTTAAGATATCCTAAACTCCAGAAATCGTCCTGTATATTTCTGGTGAAACTGTCCACCAGACAAACCGTCCTCCATCACTTCTTCCACACGGGGATGCGGGTCTGTCTCGGCGCCACGCCGCCGGGACAGACCCGGTACGGCGAGCTGCTCTGGCAGCACTCGCTCTTCGGTTTCAGGCAAACGAAGCAGAACATCAAGCGACAGCGAGGACACGTCACATTTTTACAGTACATCCGGTTGTGCTCCACCTTCAAGCCGCAGACGGGACAGGCCCGGACGGAGGGGCAGCTGGTGACGCCCTCCACGTCAGGCAGGCTGACGTCCTTGCAGGTCTGCAGGAGCTGCAGGTCCCTGTTGATGCAGCCGTCGTTGCTGCAGCGATCCGACCGAGGCCCCGAGCCTTTCCACTCCTTCTGACACTGCCAGCAGAACTGGAAGGTCTTCTTCTGGTCAGCGGTACAAATGACGCACTGGACACACAGGTTGGACAGGTCCTTCCTCTCCACGGTGGTTTTACATTTCGGACACTGATGCCAGGAGAAAGGTTCAACCGCTGAGTTTCAGTGTTTCACTTAGTTTTAAAAAATGTGTGGATCATTTGACGACTCACCGACTGAACCTCACAGTACTCTGAAACAGACAGGGAGGCCATCTTCTGCTCAAAATACTCCATTTCATCAACACTCAGGTCAGCCAGTCTGCGCACCTCCTGGTACGACCACAGCTTGTTGCACAGCTTGGTTCCCTCCAGCACCGCAGGACATCTGAATTTATGATTGCCCTTAAAAAAATGAAACGCGGTTAATTTGGAACAACAGGACAAAACTTTATTAAAATCCAGACTCAGTAAAATCCCTGGTGTGAGGTGAAACTACCAATAAGTTTGTTGCTTCTCAGCCTTTATTTAACTGAACTCTGTAATATGAAATATTACAAACTTGACCTGCAGGTATGGGTGGAAATAAAACACATGAACTAAAAGCAACAAATGTAAAGATATATTAAACTAAAATGTTTCACTTGAAAAAAGCATAGTGTGAAATCTCCATCACAAAGAGGGAGTTAAGAGAAGCTAACAAATATTTTCTAGTCTTTAAATGTTGAGTATCTGTAAACTGTGTATCTACTGCAGCAAGTCAATAGTTTCTACATTCTCACAATGTTTTCAGACGTCCTTTAAACTTATTCTTACTACAACAGCAGACGTAACTTTTCTCATTTATGTGAACTAAACTTTATCTGCAGGTCAATGCTCCTGTTTAAAATGAGAGGTTTTCAGCAAAACCACGTTATTACTGCGTTATATAACAGTATAGTATCGATTCAACCTAAATTTACTTCTTTTATTGAATTTTGCTAATGCTTGTACCTACAGGAGATGTCATAATTTGAGAACCAGATTAAGATTAAGATATTCAGAATTATCTGACAGATGTAGAAATTGTATTTTTATTATTATTTTTTATTTCTAACATATAAGCCTGTCATCTATCTTTTCCTTACGCTTTGGTTTGTTGCTGGTCAGATAGTCTAGATAGTTTTTAAACTTTGCATGAAGAGTCTTTAACGTACCTCGTCCAGCTGACTGCGACACCACTGGGTCAGGGAGTCAGGAGTGACCGCATGGCCGCAAGACATTTCAGCTCTGAGAGAATTAAAATCAGAAGCTGTGGAGATTAAAAAGTCATACATCAGACATATGGTGAAGGTTGTTACTAATTTAAATAGAAAACGAGGCTGTGTGGGGCCCTTTCAAGTACCAGCAATGGAAAACAGCTCACTCTGTTAAGCTACTGCTTAGTTTGCCTTGGGCTTGTTTTGTGAGCCATCTTGTTTTATTGCTGAGTCACAGAAAAAGAAAGACGTTTCTTACACACTGGATCCAAGTCATCTCCCCTGTTCACGAACTTCAGAGTTTTGTCAAGTGGATCGTATTTCTTCTCTGGTGAGTCCTGCTCCTGAATGCTCATGTTGATCCTAAGAGAAAAATAAAGACACATAATTCATCCTGTTGCACATAATAAATAGAAAACAGACTTAGAGATCCAAACAGATTTAATATGATAAAAGCGAAGGTCAACAATGCCTGTGTTTTAACACCCACAAGACTTTATGTGTTTAAAATGGTTTATAAACTCCCTACATTGAGCCAATGATTTTCAGAACACACACAAAGCTGATATGATTTTAAACAGCTGAAAAAAGTGGCTTTGATAGTAAAACTGTGATCATTTACCACCAGAAATAAAAATAAAATAGTTTTTGGTACTTGTTTTAAATCTGAGTATATTCTAAAGGGGACAGTTTGATTCAAATAAATTGCACCAAATGCAAAAATAAAGAATCTTTTTTGGTAATAGTGAAACTTCCTGAGCTGTCTCACTGTAAACAATAAAATGGATTCACTCAGGGAAATACCTGCTCCTCCACAGTGACATTGAATCATACAGAGAAAAAGTCATCAATAGAACTGGTTAAAGATTTGAGGAAACGAGAAAATACCCTTAAAATACCAAAATAAAGCTCTTATTTGAAGATAGCTGCTAATAATTTACATATTTACATAGATTTATTCAGTGATGAGCAGTTATAATTTAGGTTTATCCGATGCTGTCCATACATTTAATATATTAACTATAAAGCGTTGGGTGTTTTAATTACCTTTTGTCCAGTTTGTAGTTCTAACAACTTCCCCTTTAATTCGCTGGTAAAACCCGGAAGTAGATCAGCGAGCCTTAAAAGTGCAGCTCTGGGGAAATATTTTACCCAGATTCTCAGGTTTTCAGAGAAGTTTTTAAAAGTCTGTCCAGCAGCAGACGGTCCTGTTGGTTTCGGGTTTACGTCTCCTCTCTCTTCCTGTTCGGACTGATAGTGAAAGTGAAAGACAGCAGCGTTATAACGTTTTCTGTCCGCTCGGTGAGAATCCTCGGTTTTGTTGCCTCCCTTGACTTTACACACAGTTACAGTTATCACCGCTCTCATCCGGACATTGTTGCAGTTTGCTGCATTCGCTTTGTGGTAAAGTGTTTTATCATTTTTCTGGTTTATATTTGTGCATAAAGTTAACTCGTTGAAGTAACGGAGGGGAATCTGCGTGGGTTTCAACAACGACCCCAAAACACAACAGCTGCTTTCACTGACCTCCAATCTGTGCTGACATTCATAACGGCTTAATTTACTCTAAACATGTATCAAGTATTTCACCGTGGTTGTAATATGGGGGTATAAATCGTACTTTATGACGCTGTTGTTATCATTTAGGCGGGATAAAACCTGCGGTTGTTACTGGTCGACTGATCGATATTTTCAAACGCCGACTTAAAAATCAGTTCATAAAAAAAACCCCAATGATCTGAAAGTTAAAATTAGCAGTTTTTTCCACATTCTTGATTTTCATAACCTTCATTGCTTCCAAATATTTAAAAAACAACTTCATGCACTTTTAAAAAGTTAATTATAAAGTTAAACTTTTGTGTAGAGGTTGGTAGAGTAACTCTACCTAATGTTGCTTTAACATATTTTTATTCAAGTGAGAATAAAAGGCCATCCATAAAATTACTCTTTTAATTTTTTCGTATCTCGCCTAAATTCTTAGTCTGACGAACCTCAAACTGAAGTGTTTGTCCATTTTCAATATTTTTGAGCCTGGTAAGCAGCTATGCAGTACTAGAGCAATAGCATCATGTTGTTATTTTCCTTCAAGAGGGAATACCATGCGATTATGTGCCATGTCTTTTATTGGTTTTCTTAATTATTTTTTCTTAATCCCTGAAACTGTTTTATGCTAAAATCTGCTTCGTCTTTTTGTCTTGATAGGATGAATCATTGTATGTAAAAAAACAAAATCAACAACAAGAAAAAACAACTCAAATGCCACGATGTCCAAACCTCGATTCAAAATACGGAAGCATAAATCATTACACTGTAATGAAATTCAGAGAGAAGCTCGATAACTTGTCCATCTCAGGTGGGTGAGGTTCAGTAAACCATTCAGATTCAGTTGGTTTACAATATCGTGAAAGTCATTTTGTTTCTGTGGTGTTTGTAGATTACCAGGGCCTGAGCAGTCCTGGGCTCACCTGCTATCTGAACAGCATCCTGCAGGTGCTCTTCATGACTGAAGAGTTTCGGGAAGCAGTGAAAAGGTTTGGGAGCGCAGTCGAATATTTAAAAAGAAATTAGATCAAAATCAAAAACATTCAGAATAGTTGACACTTGCAGATTGTAACTTTAAGTGTTAATAGTCACTCTTTGCTTCTCTCCTAATTGCAGAGATTGGAGTAAAAGTTCAACAGCGACCATTGATTTCTACCTGGGGGAGCTGTTCCACACTTTAGAGGGAGACATGGCCAAAACACACAACATCACAAAAAAATTGGGCATCAAAGACGGTAAGTTTGGATCCAGAAGTGAAATTTTTTAAAGTCCTGAGAAACATTGAAGCTATTTTTTTTTCTTGCTCATTTGTGCTTTTAGTTTTTGAACAACGTGACGCTGCTGAGTACTTAGAGAAGATCCTCTGTCGTACCAATCCAAACGCCTCCAAGGTAGAAAATATATATTTATATTTATTATCAAAAATGCAAGATGGTATTTACTTCATATGTTAACAGTATTATATTGCAGAGGAATAATAAACACTAAAAAAACTAAATTGATTTGTCACAAATATCATATAAATTTCTGAAATATTTTGATAATTCCTTGAATATACATGTAATTAAATATTTCTTTTCAGTTTTCTGTATCTTGCTGCATTAAAGAAACATTTTGACTTTGTTTACAGTAACATCCCTCTTTAAATGAGAGATGTTGTAAATATTTTTACATTTTTGTGATGTAAAAATTTGAAAGCATTATCATTTATTTGAAAGAAGTAAGAAAAAAGCTGCAGGTGCCATGTTGCATGAATATACGTGCCTTTGGGCTGATACTTAATAGAATCCCATTTTGATTTTATTTTAGTATCCATCCTATTATTTTTACTGAATCTGTTTAACTGCAAATTATTTTTATGGACTTTTATTTTTCTATCATCTTATTTTTCTTCATTAACTCAAAAAGTGGCAGCTTTTTTGCATTTGATAGTTTTGTATCTTGAAGCAGAATCCATTATCACTGTTTTTTCTTAAATTTTTAAAGTGTCACTAAGACAACAGTAATTTCTTTCTTCTGCTTAGATATTCAAAGGGGAGCTGAATCATAAAACTACGTGCTTAAACTGCAACAACACAAACATTTCGACAAACTTCTTCTGGGTTCTACCGCTGTCGATGGGAGACTCAAAGTCTGGAAGCTACAGTGTGGTACTAGTTTATTTTTATTATAGTTCATGTTTAACTCACATTCTGGAGCAAAATAATCTGCAGGATTAACCAGTCTTCTCTGTTTCCAGCTGAAAGGTTGGAGGAGTTTCTTTAAGTCACAAAGAGTCTGCAAAGAAAACCAGATGTTCTGCAGTCGCTGCAATCAAAAGCACGACGCCGACATTGTAAGTCAGGCTTTGTTTTTTAATGTTTTCATTGCAAATGGCAGCTGTCTCCTCTACATGAAGCTGTTTTGATTGTACAACTCAGGAGTACGAGATGATGCACTGCCCAGATGTTCTGACGCTGCTGCTGAAAAGGTTCTCCTTCGACTACCAGCAGAACCGTTACGTCAAGCTGAACGGCAAAGTTGATGTGGCCCAAACTTTAGAAATCAAGGTGTTTACCAGTAAATTCACATAAAGGAGATCAGTTTAAGCTTCTTTTTATTTTAACTTGATGTGTTTCTATTCTTCAGAACTGCAGGTACGACCTCTACGCCGTGGTTCATCACTTCGGTGATCTAATGGGAGGCCATTACACTGCAGACATCAAGTCCTTTGAAACTGGAAACTGGTACTGCTTCAATGACAACACTGTTAAATGTGTAAGTCTGTTCTTTGTTCATAAATAATTGAATTTTTAACATTGTGAAGGTTAAATAATGTGTTTAAAATCTTGCAGATCAATGAAGTGTACGTTAAATCTGGACAAAACCAAATAAGGTAAAATAACTTTAACACAATAATGATTATATTTTCTGATGTCATCGACATCTATCCTTGTTCTGATTTCTAAAGGTTTTTGTTTTTCTTTCACTTTGATCCCTTGAAACAGATCATCGACAGTTTATCTCCTGATGTACAAAATGGGTAAGTTTGCAATTATTTAACCCCAATACTCCTTGAGGTTATAGATTTCCTTTTTACTACACTTGAAAATGTGAAGTCATTGCACAGCAACAACGATAAATGCCATTTTATCATCAGTGTTCTAGATCTGGTGGTTAGAATTGGATGATTGCTTTCATACTTATTAAAGGTCTCAATAAAAATTCCTGCTATAAGGAACATCCTTTTAAAATCAAAACTAAAAAAGGTTTTATAAAGTTTGGGAATAACCTGTTTGTCCCATAGTCAGGATTATTGGGCATGATTTGAATCCCGTTTATACTTAATAGGAATAATATTGTTGATATTGAAAACATGCTGTTTGAAAAATCAAGTGGGAGAGCTCCCCCTTCTGGACACACTAAAGAATGCAGGCACTTGTGGCATAAAGTTAATCTAAACTCGCTGGTATGAGAACAACTTTGCTGCTACATTCATCTAGATGGATAAAAGAGCATTTTGATATGTTTCCTTCTCTTTGTTTCTATTGTTTATATAGGTCATATGCAGAAACTACAGCATATGATAAGATTGTCTTACCTAAACTAAAGAATGAGCATTTCTTATCAAATGCTACTTCCATTTTTGTTTTAATCCTACCAAAGCTTGTTTTTTGTTGGATGCCCTCTGCTGTTTGTTTTGATTAATAACTCTGGCTGTTTCTGTTCAAAGTGAGTGGACGGCCCAAGGAGACGGATGGGAGCTCTCTGGAAGATCGTTTTCTTCTGTCACCTGAAGCTGAAGACAGATGTAATGAGGCAGAACCAAAAGATGATTTTGTCTTTGAAGATCTCCTGAAAACTGAAAGCCATAGAGAAGACATGTGGCATTTGAATAATATGATCAGAGACGATGAGTTCAAGAAGAAACATCCAAACTCTTCCAGAAGAGGGAATGAACAATTGAACGGAAAAGCCTCACAAAGGAAACCAGAGGCTTTCACTACTGAAGCAAAGGATTCAAAGGAGCAAATATGTTATAATAACACAAATAAATCCTCAGACTGTATGTTTCACCAAAGCTCCACCCCTCCTATTAAAGGAGGAAGAGTGAATGAGTCCAGGGACAAACAGGGTAACTATAAGACAAACAAACATCTTCATTATCACAGCCCTATAAGAGGAAGAGTCGAGTCTGGAGGAACCACAGATGTGTTTTTTTACGGGGAGGATTCAGCTGTGGCATCAACACACAGAAATGGCCTGACAGTTACTAAAAGGACTTGTAGCAATGGTGGTTACTCTTCAGATTTATCCAAGATCCTGGAAAAGGAAAAACCTCGTAGCCCAAGCAAGAGGAGTCAAACAAAAAAACAACTCTGGAAATGAAAGAACCCATGTTTATTTTAAAGTAAGGTTTGATTTGCCACAGAAAAAACTAAACTTTTATATTTATTCACAGAGAAACTTAATTATAATGTTAGCTGTCCTTGTGTAGCTGCTAAAAGTGACCATTGAATTCTGGGTTCTTTGATTTTGGTTGTCCTGGTTTTTTATCATTTCAAATGATGATGTCCAGGTTTTTGTTCAGCCAAACATGTTTTAAGAAGATTGATTGATCCAGGAGAACAAACCATTTCTACAGCATTATGTAAATAAACTAGATTAAAAGAACTGCAAGTTGTTCATGTGCTATTTTTTTATGAGCATTTATAGTTGGAAGGTTTTGTACAAACAAAAAAGTATAGTTGCAAATTCTTAATTTTTCTAACAATGTGAAGTTAGTAACAATGTTGATGTTTTAGTGATTTCTTCAGTTGTACAAATGGCTCGCATTGTTATATAATTTACCTCCAAATGCCTCTTTTCTCATACTGTGTCTTACTGTAACATTGCAATGGTTAGCAACAAAAAAAAGTCAAATGGTGTTTGAAAGAAAAGAATTTGTGCTTTCAAGTCTGCATAGTGTTACGGTAGTTTCTTTCCCTTCACTGTGGGAAGCCAGTGAATTGTGACCAAGGCTATGCTTAGTATCAAACAATAAATAAAATCCAAGCCAACAAAGTGGAGCATGACATTTTTTGTGTTGGCAGATGTAAACGGGTACACCGTTGATTTTCAGTTGTACTCTGGCAAATAATCTAAAACAGTGTCAGGGAAGGGGCTGCCTTTCGATGTTGTCAACACATTAGTCAACAATGTATATATTATATAGACTGAAAACTTTTACAGCAGTCCCCTTCTCTTCAGACACCTGAAGCTGCAGGGATTCGGGGTTTGCTGGATGTAGTGGGAGGGATGTGTTGGCGTCCCCACTGTCCAGAAGAATGCCCTCAGCGAAAGGTTCCTCAGAGTTGTTGCATTTCAGCAAAGCACAGCTTAATGGAAATTAGCAATTCAATGATTTTTCCTTTATTATAATACATAAAATTAGCTTTTTTTTTTGTCACTTTTACTTTCATTGTCACTTTTACTTTAGCCTAATTTGAAATCCTAAACACAAATCCAACTGTCTTTTGCTCTGTGTACTCTTTCTTTATTTCAAATAATTGAAAGTGTGATTCTGTTTACAAGACCTGCTTCAAGGTATTCCCATCAAAATAAAGTTTTATCCTAGTGAATTGTCAGCAGAGCTTAAGCCCGGCCTTTCTTGTTCACTAAAAGGAATTGTGTCATTGGTAAACAATACATCACTTATTCTCAGTGATAAATTGTCTTCAGGTCTTTGAAGACAAGGAAGTGGAAGAGCCTCACATTCCTGCTTGACGACAAGCAGAAGTGAAGATGGCTGTCAGAGTCGTTGTTGTCAGTTCTAATGTAAATAACATACTTGATGAAGGCCAGAAGTTGTTCGTTGACCTGTGCGACACCGAGGAGGAACTGGGGAACACGACTGTGAAGGAACTCAGGGAGAAGATTAACAACAAGCTGTTACAGGAGTTTCCACCAAAACCAGGTAACGCCAACCTGAACCTGAGAACAGCAACGTTGAGCTACTTGAGAGTGCAGAGACAATTTAAAGTGATATCATTATTCTGGTTTCTGAACATAAACGAATCAAAGTCATAACTTCACAGAGTTCAAAGGAAAAATAAATTATTTCTTAATGGCTTTTGCACGTATTTAATTTCTGTGAAACATCAATTAGTTTTTTTTATTGTGCCAATTCACAGCTACTGTCGTCTCAAGAATCTTTACAAAACCAAGCAAAACAAAGCAGGTTCTATTCAATTGCTTGTACAAAAAGTGCAGGATTAATAAAACTCAGTGTGATCCATTGTTATTTTATATACCTTCAGTTGAAATGAAAATGGTTTCAGATATCAAAAATAACTTAGAAAAAACTTGTTTTCACTCCAGGCAAGTTATTCATGAGAAAGTAATATAACATGAATTATAACATGATGTAAAGCTAAAAAAAAGATTTTATGACTCCAAAAGAAAGTGTTCCTAATTAAAGTAGAGATCTAAAGGTGCATGTCAGTGTGAGTATATGCTTCTTCTCTGCCCTGTTTTCTGACTTGTAAAAATCTCGTGCCACATTTTTTAAACAGCTTTTTCCACTTAAACACAACAAAGTATTTCTACAAAAGAAGACATTGTACATGTTTTATTGTTTGATTTTTGAGCAAAGAAAATGATTGATTTAAAAGTATAATATGAAATCAAAGCTTTATAGCTTGATGTTTAATTATTAAACCATTCCCAGTGACAAAGTTCAGTTTAGGGGAAATACTTGTAGGATGTAATAAAAAACTACAGTTCAGTTATGAGAATCGGGACACAAAAACAGACACGGGTTCATGTTTTTTCTTCTCTAGATTATTTTATTAGCATCCTGTTTTTATATTTAATGCTATTATATTTGACACAGTTTACTCTTTATCCTTCTCTTCAGGTTGTTTTGCTGGATCGGTCTATGAAGTCCACTTTAAAGAACAAAAGCTGGAGGAAGACTCCTCTCTGTCTGATCATGGAATACAGCACATGTCGATGGTTGAAGTAAAAATTTCTACAGAGAGTGATGTTTCAGGAGATGTGATCTATCGTTCAGGTGATTTGACTGAGGACAAAACACATAAAAGACGCAGAAGCAAAGACCTTCATTTGGATATGGAAAAGCCAAAAAACTACAGATCTTCTAAAGATTGCTGTTTATCTTAGACAAAACTGTTTTTGAGCTGCAGCACTAACAAGAATCCAGATCAGTTGATGCTTCAATGATTTCTGAAGGAAAGCAGCAAAATACTTAAACAAAATAATGCAGAGAAAGCAAAGCCAGATCATGGTTTGCTTTTCAGAGAACCACAATCACATGATATAGCATAAAATAACGTAATATCATTTCATGTCAGCATAGAAGCAGTAAAACTCAACACTCCTGAAAACCACAGCTTGTTCAGCCACCAAATAATTATCCCCCAAATGAATTGTCAAAGGAATACAGAACCGCTGTCTCTTGGATATGTCTTAGAGGAATATGGGAAAATATTTCATTCTATAAAAAAGTTCAAGTAGGACAGATGGTGTACACCAGGGAAATTACTTGAGCCCAGGTATTGAGGAGCCCTAACATAGAACAAGGTTATAATACTTTTATCACATTTTATTTTGTTCATTTTTTGTTTGACTAACTCAGTTGGTTTTAGTTACTTTCTAATGTGTGTTTTCCAATGCTGTTCAACATGACTTTTATCAGATGAAAAGAACAAAAATGGATGAGTGGATTTGGTCTGAAACAACTTGACTGGCCTGCACTTCAACCTGATTGTGGTTGAGTTATTAGAGCTGAGGCTTTGAGCAAGACATTCATGTCCAACATCAGAGTCTGATCTCATAAATGTTCTTCTGCAAGACGGGAAAATAAAAAAATACAGGAAGCTTTTCCAGAAGAGATAAAATGGTGATAGCTGCAAAGGATGGACAAACATCATATTATCATCTATAGATTAACAATTAGATCCCACTCAGGTTTATATGTGTGTGAAGACAACAAGCATAAACTTTTGGCAATGAAGTGTTGCTTTATGTAAATATTGAACATAAAAGAACAACTGTGAAAAATACACATGTTTTAAATAAAAGGCTTTGCTTCTTACTGATTTATTTACCGTCTGCTTTCAGGTGAAGGTTTAATATTTCTCTGAGTTTAGTCTGATGATGAAGCTGAAACTGAAATGCTTATAAATAGTAATCTGTGCTCTACACAGTCAACTCTTTGACTGTAAACTATAAAGTTGTCTGTTCTTGTGACTGTACATATGTACATATTTTATATTTTTCTATGTTGAGGCATTACTTATGTTGTATAACGTATCTATAAACCCACATTGCTGCAGAGTTAATTTTATTTAATGTAAGTGCTGTTCTGGTTCATTGATCAAAAGTTTCATCAATAGATTCTCACAATAAAAAATTTTGCTGAGCAATTAATTATCTCTCAAATAATTATTGCAATTAATGATAATATTGTTTGAAAACCATTTTAAACTGATGTAATGGTAATGACATAATAATACAAGTCATATCCTGCCAAAAATAAATACATTTTATTTTCAAAAGAACATTTAACACTGGAACTAATAAAATAAACTAAAACAAAAATAAAATGGACTCTGAGTTAACAAAAAATGCACTTGAATAAAAACTAAACAACATAAAACCAAAGTAGAAATAAGAACTGCATTCAACCAAAAGAGTGCAGATTACTATATTGACCTTCAACAATCATTAGATATAGTCAGAGAAGACGGGCATGTCCGACTACCGGATTCAATAGTTCACTCCTCCCTTATGCTGAGGAAATGAGGACGAGACGATCAGTTGAATCTTTTTTCATCCACTGTCATCAATAGAAACAGAAAAAGGCAGGAAGAAACAAAAAAGCTGATAAATGAAAATGAGGTTGATCATTTTCATTTATCATGCGATTAATTGATTTATTGTTTATTGCGACAGACTTAGTCACAACCACAAATCACACAAAGTGTTACGGGTTGTAGAAATAAGGCGGATTCAATCATTTTATAAAACTAATTTTGCTTCCAAAATGATCTCCAGGTATTCAGTGTTACTTTCTCACTGTTCCTTCAGAAGGCAATTACATAAGGATTCATGTTTTATGCCATTCCACATTGCATCATGTTTGATTTCAATGCATTGCAGGACACAACTCACTGTTTACGGGACAAACTCCTCCCTCTTGATCCACCATAATCCCATATATTCCATGTTTAAACATTTAAACCTTTATCTACTTGGTGTCCCTTTGTTTTTGCAAACCAAAATGCAGAAAAGTATTTTTTTTCATTATTGGTTTTTTTTTTTTTCATTTTTATGATTTTTAGCTTTACATTGTGTTATAATTCATGTCATAATATTACTCTCTCATTCATAACATGCCTGGAGTGTTGCTCCAGGCATGTTATTAAAGACTAAATAGCAGCTAAATATTCTGGGGCTAATGAGTAAGAGTGATGGCAAAAAAAGCCTCAAACTATCTTGAAATTATTGGTGCAAAGTTCACAATCCAACACTGACACACCTTAAAGTGACAGAGTCCAAGAGTCCAAAGATCATGTTAGAAAGTTTTACTGTTTTTCAGACACCATAGGAAGTAACAGCTGAAGGTAAGTTCACGTTTCTCCTTTTCTTTTAGACAAATCAAAAGAGCGATTAAAGTATGATTGATGTTTTATTTTGCGTGATTTTTGTGTTGTTTTCCTTTTCTTTAAGAATCTTTCATGTAACCAGTCAAACCAATTCAGGAAGTCAGGGAATATATATTGTGTATTTTATCTTCTTTATCATTTTGACAGCAAGAACGCAGCATCTGGCTGGACGTAACCAAAACAGAAAGTGAATTTTTTTAGACAATTTGTCTCACTCAAAGGTTACTCAAAAATAAGGTTAGAAAAAACCAAAGAAGCTGTAAATATCCTGGGAACATCTTTACACAGTCATTGATGTAACAACTCAGGGTAGGTTAATATATATTGCTCAAAAAAATAAAGTACTGCTTGTCTTTTCCTTACGAAGCTGTAATGTAACCAGTGAAACTAATTCATCTGAACAGGAATGTTGAGCATCTAGAAAAGTTTAACATCCTATAAAACATGTTTACTTCAACTTTTGTGTGAATAAAACTCTTATTTGTAAATAAGAATTTTATGTTTGTAAAAGTGATACAACTCTGTTTTTTTATTCAGGTTGTTGAAAGGTGTGAAGGATTGTAAGATAAAACTCTAAAGTTAAGAAAGAGTTTCTTTCTATCTGACTGAAGCTGCTGCTGGAGATCCACAAACGTCTGAGATGATCTACCAGGTTGTGATCACAGGATTAGATGGAAGGAAAATGACGATTGACCTCTGTGACAATGAGGAAGACATGCAGAGAATAACGGTGGGAGAGCTGAAGGACAAGATAATTGACAAGATGCCTGGATTCACAGGTAAACTAATTTACTTCACCTATCTCCATATTGAATGAAAAATAATAAAACCTGTTTAAAAATGAAGAACAGACATTTACCAAAATATACATTTAAGGATAAAATACAAAGTAGATCCTGTTGAATTCTCTCCTGTGGAGTTTGTTCAGGTTTAGGACAAGAACAAAGTTGAAGTCAGAAGAACAAAATTATGTAATGTTTTATGTTTTTTCTTTAAGTTTGTTTAACTTCCTGCATTGTGTTTCAATAAATAGTGAGAATCAAATCTGGTGAAGCAGATAAACTATAAAACTGAAAATATGATCAAATCCAAGAATAATAACTTCACTGTTTCAGTGAAATTAACTTTAATTTTAGAAACTGCTGGATTTAATTTTGCTTCATTATTAAACAGTCAGTAAACGTTGTTGATGTTACCAATAACACACATTCCTGTCTACTGCAGAGTTCCTGTTTTTATTGTTATGGATCAGAGAAATGTAATGTAAAGATGTCTGGTAGTTTTTGTTTTTTAAAAAGTATTGACCTGACTTAAAAACACACAAAACTTGCATAATTAAACTCCAGATGGATCTTCTTTCAATATAAACAGAAATCACAAACAAATAAATTAACTAAAGCTACAATGAGAGCAGCATCATAGATCTCTGCTGCTCCTTATCAGACTAGAATATCTCTGCTGTTTATAAATATATCTTTGGTGTGTTTGTATGTAATTATGATTCTGGATTTGTATATTTGCAGTGAGTAGAAAAGAGGACCTAAAATTGATCTTTGGGAATAAAAGATTGGACAACGACACAGACAAGCTGGTTGACTATGGAATCCAACACAAGTCCAACATAAACATGGTTGAACTTCTTGAAGGTGGAGGATGTCCTGAAACGGATCATACAGGTGATGGGATGGGAGACAAAGAGGGTGAAACTCGAAGAAGTAAAGAGGAGCTTAGGTTTAATTTTTAAAACTCAAAATACATTTTTGGGTCCAAAGTGCTTCATTCCACATGTTGGAATATTTCAAGCATGAACTAAAATCACATCCCTTCTCATCCTCATTTAAACTCTTTTAAGCAAACAAAATATTTCTCACTTCCTGCCATGTTGTCTTTGTACTGTATTTATATCAAAACTGTCTAGAAGATCAGCAGAAATATTTTTTTGTTTCTTGTTATTTTCATTGAGTCAAACAGAGAAAACAATTGTGGAGCAACTTTATTGTGTTTTGTAAAAATAAACTAAATGTGGGATTTTAAAACTGATCTTTTGTTCTCTATACAATTTAAATAATGAAGATTTTCTGAAACCCAGAATGTAGGAAAATGTGTAAAAAGCCTCAATAGAAAACTCAAGTGAAGATGTTTCAAATTGACCAAATTCTAGTTTAATAGCAGAATCAAAGTGTTGAGATAAGGATGAGCTGCAGGATATCATTTTAACTCCAGTCCTGAATATCAAAAAGCTGAAACACAATAACATCAACACTTGGTGGCTCATAGAAACAAGACTTATTTTCTCAAAAGATAACTAACTTTTTAAGACCAAATCCATAATCTGCAGCAAATGATTGTAAAAGATGCTGTAAAACATTTTAATTCTTAAAAAAATATAAAACAATGAGGCAACTGTCATCCACCTAATTTACTTTAATTGGGGGATATTTGATTAGAAACTTGATGTCATAGAATGATGTGGTGGTGGTGAAGCAGACGCTTGGAGGCCCAAGATGAGGTGAAGACGAGATTTAATGGTGAAAATGTCCAGAAACAAACAGTCAACAGCTGAGTCTGCGGCCAGGCAGCACGGCTGAGTGGAAGCAACAGGTGAAACAGGCAGAGAACAAAATAAACGACGTCAACAGACAACAACGTACGACGACGATGACAAGGACCCCACGAGGAACAAAGGACACAGGTGGGATTAAATACACTGAAGGTAATCAGGGGAACAAGACACTCCTGGAAGTGATCAAAGGGAAGACAGGACAACAAGGAAACTAGGACACAGAAACTCAAATAAACACAACAGAAACACATGGAACACAATCCTTGATTTCATGATAATCATTACATAATGACCATAATTTCTCATGAACCTGAAAGATGTCATGAGAAAAATGATGTTTGTGTTTTTATGATGTGAAGCACTTTGAAATGCCTTGTTCTAAAGATCTAAATTAGATCTATAGAAACTCATCCATGCATTTGCCTTTAGTTGCTTTGATTGCTGCAACAGCGTCTTCACATGTCTGCCTAAAAACAATTTAGGCAGACATTTCAATTTCAGCTGTAGCTGATCCAGAAGCTGCTGCTCGCGTTCTCACTAAAACCAGGAAGATAGAGACATAACACCAGTTTTAAAGTCCCTCTGCTGGCTCCCTGTAGCTCAGAGAATAGACTTTAATATTCTTTTAGTTTATAAATCACTGATTTATGGCTCCACAACACAGTAAAGATTTGCTGTTGTTGTATCAACCTTCCAGATCCATCAGGTTCTAGTTCTGGTTCTGCTCTACATCCCCAGAACCAGAACCAAAACGAGGAGAAGCAGCTTTCAGCTTCCACGCACCACAAATCTGGAACAAACTTCCAAAAAACTGTGAAACAGATGAAACTCTGACTTCCTTTAAATCTAGACTAAAACCCCAAATGTTTGGAGTTTCTTTTGTGTCGTAATTAATGAAACACTGAGCAACATTTTGACGTGTAATGACACAACTTGACAAAATGTAATGAGTTCTGGTTTTCTCAGTTGTTGACTTGGTGTTTTCTGACTTTGTATTGTTGTGTTTTTATGATGTAAAGCTCTTTGAACTGCCTTGTTGTTGAAATGTGCCACACAAATAAATTTGATTGATTGATTAATTGATATTCATAATATTCTAGTGAGTTAAATGCATCAGAAACAAATCTAACAATTACATTTATAATCTCAAAGTAGATTCTGAACAACAGAATAAATCATAGAGGTTCTGAGTTTTGAGTCATGGTTCAATAATTAATTTCCTTTTTCTTGGATTAACTGACATTAATCTGTATTACTGGATTAAACAGGAAAACGAGTCACTGCTGACATGAAGACTTTCAGACATAAAGCTCAACAGCGCCTCTCAGTGGTCAGAAAAACGAAGGGTTACGGAGGTTAAAGATCTTTTTTGGACCATTGTTCAATGGGAATTACAGAAAATAAGTCATTATTTTCTTGCTGTGAGATTATTTCTGTTTAACTTCAGCATCTTAACGAAGTTAAATACGTCTGATGATGTCAGTATTTTCATCTTAAGTCAGTATTTTAACTCTGGCTGCTCTGGATTGATCAAAAAACAACAAGTTTCAAACTGTCATGTGAAACCATTGGTGCAAATTTCATGATCCAACAGGTTGACACACCTTAAAGTGAGAGAGTCCTCAAAATGAAGTTTCAAAGACATGATCAATCATGTTTTCTAGACGCCACAGGAGATAAAAACATCAGTAGAAACGAACGATGAGTCTTTGTGAATCTGAAATCACATTAACCAGCTTAAATATCATACTAATGACCTTTAATCACAAAGGTTTGTCGAGGTGAGAAAACCTCACAGTTATTTGACACTATTAACCAGTAACAAATTAAATGCACCTTATGCCAACAAACTATTAAGAAAAAAGGTTTCATTATTCCTTTTGCCAGAGTAAGTTTATCTATGTGACGTCTGTTGAGTACATTAGAACAATGGCTATGACTTCTAATACATTATGTTAATTATCTTCTTTTATAAGTTTGTAGAAAGATATTAAAGGAATTACACCTTCCAACCAATCCACATTTAACACCTTTTGAAAGTGATATTTTCAACGCGTCTTGAATGCAGCATCTGCCTGGGAGTGACCAAAACAGAAAGAGAAAGTATGCAGACATTTTACTTCACTCTAATAGTAAAATAAACTCAGGTAGCGTCAATTAAATATGTCCTGGAAACACCCTGAAACTGTACTTACTGTAACGGCCGAGGGTAGGTTCATAGATTTGCTCTCCTCTCCTTTCCTGTTTCAGTTTTTTGTAGCATTTGTCTTTTGTTTAAGAGTCTTTAAAGTAATCATGATTATATAATAAAAACAATTAGTTAAGAGAAAACACATCTGCTGTTCAGGGATGTTTATCATCTCTTACAGAAAGGTTTAAAATCTTTTAAAACATGTATTAATATGTAGTTAGTGTGTATCCCTCTGTTTTTGATCTCTGCTATTGTATGAAGAAAACATTACAACATATGTTTTCTCATTCAGGTTGCTGAAAAGTGTCAAGGATTATAGGACTCCAATGGCTAGGAGTTTTTTTTTGTCTGACTGCAGCAGCTGCTTTAGATCTGTAAACATCTGAAGATGATCTACCAGGTTGTGATCAGTGGGATAGACGGGCAGAAAACCACGATTGACCTCTGCAACACAGAGCAGGAGATGAAGACAGTAACGGTGGATCAGCTGAAAGAAAAGATATTTGAGAAGTTGTCTTGGTTGCCAGGTAAACTCACTGAAATAAAACATCCCAGCAATCATTTACTTCACCTTTCTCTGTTTTCCGTAAAACAGAATTGTTGGAAAATCAGGAAAAACAATTTTAATCAAATGAAATGCAAAAGGAAATTGTTTTCAATTCTCTCCTGTGGAGTTTGTTTTGATTTACGGTGAGAAGTTTAAGTCAGAAGAATAAATTTATGACATTCTTACAATATTTTCTTTCAGTGCTTTGACAAAATGTTACAAAGCCTCACAAACATCTTCTCCTTTTCAGACTAGAATAGTTCTGCAGTTTAAAAACAAGTCTTTGGTCTTTTTGTATTTATTGGAGTATGATTCTGGATCTGCATATTTGCAGGACATGCTAAAAAGGACCTACGGTTGATCTTTGCGAGCAACAGACTGGATGACGACACAAAGAGGCTGTTTGACTATGGAATCAGACACAAGTCCTACATACAGATGGTTTTAAGCTTAGATGGTGGAAGAGGCCCTGAAGTGGATTTTACTGATGATGGGGTGGGTGATAAGGAGGGTGAAACTCGGAGAAGTAAAGAATGTCTCATGCCTGATCTCTAAAACTCAAACCAAAACGCTTTGTTTCTCACATCCCTCCTCATTCTCAATTAAACTTTTCAAAATAAATTTAAATAAATACTATATTCTTTGAATAAATAAACTATAAACTCTGAATGTGTGTTACATTATCACAACTCTCTGTATGATCAGCAGAGATTTTGCCTGTTTCTTGTTATTTTCAGTGAGTCAAACAGAGAGAACAACAACTTCTACAAACTTGTGTTTTGAATTAATGAACAAAATGTGGGATTTAAAAACTGCTCTTTGCAGTTTAAACATTGAAAACAATGAAACACAGCACATAATGTAAGGCAATTTGCTGCAAACATCAAGAGGAACATTGTTTGCAGCAAATTCTGGATTAAGAGCAGAATCTAGATTAAAGTGATCTGCAGGATCTTCCCTCAGCTCCAGTTGTTTGTGTTGACCAGTTTAATGTCAACACAAAGTGGCAGAATAATCACATTATTCTGCCACTTTGTGTTGACATTAAACTAGTTTATCCAGGCAGGTTTGGAGTCTCTCTCCTTTATTTTTTAAGTTTTTCTTTACTTTTGCAGTGAAAATTACTATACAAATAAAAACATTAAATAAGTGCAAAAACAAAGTATTTTAACATTTAGCAATTTGTTGGTTCTGTTTGTGATGCCGTGTTTTCTCATGGCAGCAACTCAACATGTTCTAGAAACTATTATAAGTTTCTGACCAGAGTCTGGTTCCTGCAGTGGCTCAACACATCTCAGTCAAACTGTAGCGTCAGAAACAAATGTAACAATTAAGTTTATTATCTCAGAGTAGAATGTGAAGGAATCATGTGGTGAATATGGTTCATTAATTCACCTCCTTGTTCTTGGATTCACTGACATCCTGTATGACTGGAGGAAACAGGAAAACGAGTCACTGCAGTTACGAAGAGTTTCATACATAAAGTACAACAGCGCCTCCTGGCGGTTTCCGCAGCTGCCAGTAAATTAAAAACCAGGATTGTTGAATTAGACCAAAATTAATTGCATAAAGAGAATCAAGTTATCATCATCTTTGTGTGATTATTTTTTGTTTTTCTTCAATAGTTGGATATAACGATCAGCTGAAGTTTTTTTTTTTTTTTGTCAGTGCAGGTTCATAACTCCTGTCTTTTCACATCTACAGGTTTATAACTTCAAACAGACCTTATTCTGTGGTGTTGATATCATCCATTTATGTAAGTTTTCATCTACACTAAACTGAACACAAATAGACAATAAACTAACACACTGAAAAACTGATGATTAAAACAACTAACATGTAAGGATTGTGTTGTAAACAGCCGATATGTTCTTAGACAACAAACATTGTGATAGTGCATTAATAAAACATTACAGACATTCAAATAAGTTGGTTTTTATATAATTACTATCTGGAACATCAAACAGTTCTGACAGGTTTTTTACAGTGGCTGCAGACGAAGTGCTTTTTCTATTCAGGGCTTAAATTGCTCAGCAAAACAACCTCAGCTGTTTGATGCAAACATCACCTTATAAACTCCATGATAATCCAATAATACACGTCAAACATGGTTCAGACTCATATTACAAACATTTCATATTCATTCTGAAAATGTATCTTTACCTTTCTGCTATGAGCAGCGCCACCAAGTGGATGGATGCAGACAGTGAGGCTCTTAGTGCAATAACACAAACTGATCAACATTAAACCAGAGAGGGACTTTAATTCAGCAGCAACTAAACATGTAAACATCAACAAAGAAATAGAGAGAAAATTCAAGAGAAGTGTAGAGCGTGGGTGAAATTTGATGCCTTAGTGACACAGAAAGGTTGATGCAGATGGTATTTTTGAAAGTTTGTGGGGCAGAGGAATGACTATTGAGATCATTTTATTGCATGTTTTTTGAAACCCTCAACATATCATATTCTTCAGCTGGGTAAAGGAGTTTGACAAATAACTGCAAATTGCCACACGTTAAAGTTTCCCAAAAGCCAATCAAATTTGGAAGAGAATAACACACATAATTACTCTGATTACGATTTAACCACGACAGATTGGGGTTTGCAGCCGGGTTTGTCTGTCCTTCATTTTGTCCTTCATCTTGTGAACCGATACCTGAAATTTATATTAGAAAGTATTGACAAACTGGACCCACTGTAAAGTATTAAAAAGTCTGATTTCTACTTGCTTTTCCTCCTGTAAAAAAGAAGGTGGACACTTTGAGATCTGGTGAAGAAAGTGAAGTTAGTTTATGATAAACAGTGAAAATAAACAGAAGAACAAAACTGGACAGGCGCTTACTTCTCAAACTTTCTCTGGACTCTGTTGTTATCAAGCTGTTATAAAAGAAACAACAACATATCAAACTGGCATTGTGTTGTTATGACAAAGAGAAATATTGACTGTAAAAAATAAAATCTTTCAAATCTTTAAAAGCACTGTAATCATTCTCACCAGTTTCACACTGGAGTCATTGAACTCATACCAGTTTTCTTCATCCTCAGGCTTGATTGTTGCTGTGTAATGGCCTCCGCTCAGAGTCCCAAAGTGATCCACCAACCCATACAGCTCATATGTCTGGTTCTGATCCACAAAACGTTTCATTTCACACATGAAATGAAATGAAACTTTATTTCGAACATGATGGTAGTATAAAATGATGCACAAGAATAAGAAATGCAGAAGACATATACTTTTGTACCACAGTAATCTAAACATGCTCGAAAAGGGCAAAGTGAGAAACCATCTAATATTTTCAGATGGACCCTCATTAATAAATCTGATCAACAATGAAAATAAATGGGTTTATTAATTTTCCATTTTATCTGGATTACATATGTCTGAATGTATACATCCATACTGTTACATAAAAGAAAATGGGCAACAATCACAATAATCTGAAATGTACCTCTGGTAAGTCGATGGTGTGACAAACACCCACAGCACGGTTGTCTTTACTGTATGACATGCGGTGATAGTTGTATTCAAACCTCTTCAGCAGCAAAATCAAAATCTGTGGATGATGCTTTAGTTTATATTTCTACATGAAACACAACATTAATATGATTAAAAGCAGATATTTACAGTAAATGTATATAATGATGCATCACATTTTTCACAAACTTCTGAACAAACTGAATTTTTTCTGTTTTATATTAGTCACTGTGATTTTTTTTACATTTTTGCAAAGTGTTTTATTGCTGGAGGAAGTGGTGCAGTTTGTAAAATAGATGAAATCATAACAATAGAACCCAAAGTGAAAATATTGACGCAACATCTAAAGACATCGACCAGGAAGTTAAAGCCTGGGCACAGATTGGTCATCCAACTGGACAATGACAATGCAGCTGAAGTAAACAGACAGTAAAAGACACTCTCATGAGAGAGGGAGTCAGAAAACAGCTTTCTCTTTCACTTAGCAACTAGAGCATTTCATTCAGCTGATAAACAACACTGCATGAAGTCATGAAAGCTCACAAGTTAGAATTCATCTAATATCCATTCTCTTTAATCCGTCCTGAAGGCTGCAAGTTTTGGAGTTGTTGTGATTTCAGAGAGACGAAACAATTATTTCGTCCATAAAGACATTGTCAAAATCTGTTTTTGATACAACGGGGATAAACATCTGCTGTTTTTCTTTTCTTCTACAGTATTATTTCAAGAAGAGTCTGTCAAGAATCTTCATAAATGTAGCTGCAAAAATCCAAATTAAAATGCACTTTAAACTGCAATGACAGAAACTGATAGAGATTTCAAATGCCAAAGACATTTACAACCCCTGTCCTCTCTAACAGTGAGGATCAGCAACAGATAGAAAAAGAAGCAGATGCAAATGTTTTACTGCTTGGTGTCCAATAACAGGAAGAAAGATCAGAATGGAAGCTCAGGGGAATTCAGGCGTCACTGAAGAAAACAATGTTGGCTTCAGATTATAATCAAACAAACAAAATGAAACAAAAACTGAATGAGGATCTGGAAGGTACCTAAAAATCCTGGACTCATGATGTTTAGTTTCTGTTAGTCTTCTACTGAAGAGCCATTCAATAATGTTGCAGCAGCTTTAAACGAAAGAGTCACCTGCCTTCAGATCAGAAGAGTCAGAATTTGACTTAAATAAGATTAAAAGCATGGAGGCATCTTTGTCTTCAGTGGTTCAAACTAAATGTCGGGTGATGATTATGTTTCCCTTCACCTCATTAGCTATAGCCAGTAGAAAGAAGAAAAGGTTTAGGGGAGAGTGTGGCTTATTAATCTGACTAGTTTAATTAATCTGTGCAAAGGAAATATATTCTCACTTCACCTCGTGAAAATCTTTCACTGCTCAGTGATTTGGATGTTTCTGGAAGCTGTTTGTCTGGTTTGGTGTAAATTATTTACCAACATATTGATTTGTCACAATTTATCAAACTGATTACCAAGTTTTTATAGCAGCATTCAGGTCTTTTAAATTGTTGGATCTGGTGACGTTTTTTCTCGACTACCATAAATTCGGTATCAGGTTTGGGTCAGGTCAGTTGCCTAACCACTCCAGAACAACCACTTACCAGAACACTGATACTGTGGCCATTAAAACCAGCAGGTTTTATTTTGTCAGTGGGGAGAAGAGCCAGGAGCTGCTGGGAAATCAAATAATCAGCATCTCCATAAAGTTTATCAGCAGAGAGTGCTCTAAAATTTCCCAGTCAAAGACTGAACTAAATTTGAACTTGATAAACACCAGCAGGTCAATATCACTGACTGTGGAAACGTCACAATCCACGTCAAGAAACTTGTCGACTTCCTCACTCTGGTACCTTGATTTCCAAGTGAAATGCAAAATCATGTGAAAACAAGACTTTAGGCTACTGAATAATATTCCAGTCGTCTTTCCCCTTCACCCACGTCAGACATGTCTGAAGTTTTCTTTGGTTCAAAGGTCACAAGGAACATAACAGTTGTTGCCCATGACCTGGATACATTTTGAGTTCTGGCTCCTTAAACACTGTCAAAGTATTCAAACTGAATAATTGTACATGATTTGGTTTAATTTTCACTCTTTATTTAGTCAAAACAACAGCAAAATTTTTATTTGTTCAACAATTTCTGCTTTCAGTTTGTACTATTGAAAAAATGCAAACAAATGACAAAGATTGGTTAATAAATGATAAGAGTCATACAATATGATAGGATTAGTTGATACAAATATAAATAACAGAGGCATCAAAACAGCACAAAAAGCTACATGTTTGTTTGGACATCCTTTAAAGCAGACGTTCCCAAAGACTTTCTTCTGGTTCCCCCTATGGATTACAATAAAATCCCATCGTTCAACCAGACATAAACCTCAACATATTTTGTTTTCAAACTCCACTGAAGTTTATTTCACACTTCATTCAGGTTGCAACGAAACAAACTACATAGCATCTTTACAGTGAATCACTTTTGTGTAACTGTTTTTGGGTTTTTTTTAATCCAGGCTGCTTCCCGCAACCCCAACCCCCCAAGAACAAACTGGAAAATAAAAAACACAAATCACATGGACATAGAGTGTAGAATAGACACTCTATGTCCATGTGATTTGTGATTCCACACAGGAATGAACGTCTGCCTAGGAGCAATGCCACTGGGGCAAAGTGAATGGCATTGTACCAAGATTTTCTGTCACACTACAGCTTTGAGCAGACTTTAGGCAGCCAAAACAAAACGTCATCTTACATCGGGGACATGAAACGTCTTTGCATCCTTTCCCAGTGTGCTGCAGCAGTGAGCCGCAGGTGGGACAGGCACGGACCGACGGACACCCTTTGACTCCTCCTGCTAGCTCAATTTGGACTTCGGACACTCTCTCAGCGTCTTCAGGGCAGAATTGTGGCAGTCGTCGTTTTCGCGGTTGGATCGAGGCTGTGGACCTTTCCACTCCCTCAGACACTGCCAGCAGAACCCAAAGCTGCGTCCGTCTTCGCTGAGCAACCTGAGCAGCAGACATAGAGGTTCAAGCTGCTCCCTCTGGTCACAGGAGTCATGCAGCCTGGACACTGTTTGGGGATAAGAGAGAAGAAACAGGGATTTGAGTCAGACTCAAGTCTGTGTGCAGTTTATAATTACACCATCAATATGATACTTACAAACTTTCTGTTAGGATCTTTGAGGGCAGCATTCTGGGCCAAGGTCGTCTCAAAGGTCTTCATTTCTTCAGGGGTCAACATGGCCATTTTACAAACCTCCTGATAAGACCACTCAGCATGACAGCCAAACTGACCGCATTCAAACCTGGGTTTTCCCTGTATTTAAATAATCACAGAAATTATCAGGACCAAAGGTAAAGAAAAAAACACTTACATGTTCAACAATTTAATAGATGGGTTCCTCACTTCCTTTTCCAGTAGTTAATATTCTGTTAAAAATGTGACGTCAACACAGAAAATACACTGATGTATTAAGATGCTCTTTAACTCTAAATTTCACAGTTGAAAATTTGAAAGTCAACTTCAAAAAGAGTCACAGCGAATCTGTCGAAGGTAAATAAACTAAAAGCAGCAGAAACAGCAAACATCCATGTTTAATTCAGTTAAAAAGAATAAAAGACATGGAATAAAATATTTTACATTTCACATTTGAAAGCAAAAATGATGCAGTGAAATTACAGACATTATCCTGAACATGTGAGTTTGTAGTGAATTAAAAGATTTGTGCAGCTTTTGTTTATGATGACTCTGTGTTTCTGTACATTGAGTATCTACAACTCAAATAAACATGTTTTGAAAGAGAGGAAGATACAGTTTCTTCAATACGATTTTCATATTTATGAAAAATTAGATTTTAAATGAATTTAAGGACAAGAAAACTAGATAAAAAAAAGAAGCAGAAAATACATGTGGAAATACCTCATTACTTTTCATCTGAATCAGAATAAAACTAGTTCTAGTTCTTTTTCTATTTTGAATAAGATTATATTTGAATCATATCTCACCTGTTTGAGCAATTGTTGGCACCACTTAGTGAGGGACGTCGGGGTCACTACATGGCCGCAGGACATCCGGGCTCTTGGGGAATCAAACCCTTCACACAGAACTGCAGAAGCATCCAGTGAGATCCTCCAGCATGTTTAAATACTGACTATACAAACTATACATGCTCTAAACAAGACAACAAATGCAGTGAAACTTGTCGCTGCAGCGCTGATGAACTGAAACGAGCCACTTACAGTCAAACTGATCCTCTTCATCCACTAGTGGGATTGTAGTCTCTCGGGTTGTAGCGCTTAGTTTTATCGTTCATCTTGAAAAGTCTCCTGGTTTCTGCTGTGATTAAAAACAGTCAACTTTACATTGTATTTAGTCGAATAGAAGGAAACTTTCGATTTCGAGCCTGGTTAGTCTGTACGAGTCACGTGACTTTGGCTTTCAGAATGACCGTCATGCCAATAATGACAATCCAGATAATTACAAGTACAAAAAGTAACAAAGCTAACAAAGACAAACAAAAATTGTTGTGATTTTTATTACAGTCTGAAGTGATTTTCCTCGTATCGTCGTTTTCACTCTTGTCATCGTCTTGTGACCCATTATAAATCCTTGTATGGTCTGTTTGCATCTCACTTTTCTTTCTGTAAAACAGAAGATGGGCACTTCGGGATCTGGTGAATAAAGAACGCAAATTCCAGTTATGATGAACGGTAAATATAAACAGAAGAAGAAAATGAAGGACGATTACTTACCTCTCAAACTTTTTCTGGAACATCTGGTTACTAACCTGTTATTAAAAGGAACAATATTAAACTTCTGCTGTGCTACAACCAGGTGAAGTATTGATTGTCAAAGTGAAAAACACCCACAGTTGCAGGATAATTATCTCACCAGTGTCACACTGGAGTCACTGAACTCATACCAGTTTTCTTCATCCTCAGGCTTGATTGTTGCTGTGTAATGGCCTCCGCTCAGAGTCCCAAAGTGATCCACCAACCCATACAGCTCATATGTCTGGTTCTGATCCACAAAACACACACATTAATCTGGAATCTGAAAAGAAAATGAGCAACAATCACAATAATCTGAAATATACCTCTGGTAAGTCGATGGTGTGACAAACATCCACAGCACGATTGTCTTTACTGTATGACATGCACTGATAGTTGTATTCGAACCTCTTCAGCAGCAAAATCAAAATCTCGGGATGATGCTTTAGTTCATATTTCTACATGAAACACAGAGTTATTAATACAGTCAAAAACTGATATTTATGTTAACTGTATATAAAGACACACAACTTCTTTTTACTGCCTGATATTAAATCAAACTAAGACTTTTCTGTTCCAGGTCTGCAGAGATCATCAACATTTATTTACTTATTTTTCATTTTTGGGCATGCATCATATTGTGAGAGGATCTGTTGCACTTTACAAAGCTGATAGCATCATGAGGAGAGAACATACAGTGGAAATTTTAAGTAACATATATAATGTTGCTTAAAAATGTAGATATGTTGTTTAAGAAATCGACCTGGTAGTTAGCTTTAGTACAGGGTGGTCTTCCAAAATGGACAATGACCCTAATTACACTGCCCAATTAATTAGGGATAACAAAGTCAGTATCTTTGAGAGGCCATCAAAAACCCTTGAGCAAGGCAGCCTGCTAAAAACCTGATTTAAAAGAACAGTTCTGTGAGGAGGAATGGGTCAAAAATCTGACCCAGGTTATGACGTTTTAAAGACAATGCTACCAAACTCTAATAAAATATATGTGAACTTCAGAATTTGACAAATATTTAGTTTCTCTTTCATTATTTGGGTGTTTAGCTAATAGCTAAACATTCTTAATACATTTTAAAATGCTGTCAAAATATCTGTTTTGTTTTGTTTTTGTTTTGTTTTTAACCAAAACAAGTTTCCCTTTACTTACAACAGTAGTGTCACGATTGTCTTCACATTTATCACAGTACAGCTGGTCTTCTCCATAAAACCGTACATCCTTTAAAAACTCCCGAATTGCGTCTTCCTGGAAACACATTTTCTGTTACTGCACAAACCTTCACCAGGTTCTTTCCAGCATTCTGCCAACACAGCAGATTGCTTATTACTACTAAGTAATAATCAGAAATTGTTGATTATTCCAGATGACTTTTATGAGCAGAGTTTTGTTTGTTTTATAAAATGGTTTCCATTATGCAGGTTGTTTCTTACCACACTGTAGTTTCCATCACTAGAATCCATCAGAGGGAGAGAAAGAAACCAAAATGGCACCAAGTCTTCAGTGTCTGAGTCACATTGATCACAAACAGTCCTGTGAACCAGCTCTCCTCTGAATATCTGAAAATATAATTTGATTTAAAATCTAACAGCTTTTAATTTTTTATTTACACTTTCTCCAATCTGACTTTCAGGAATAATTTACCTGTGACGCTTCATCGCTGACCAGAGATAAAATCTTCTCCAGGTACTGACCAACATCCAGCTGTTCATACACTGAGAGAACAAAGAAAGAAGGAGACATAATATACTGTATTTCTATATTGTCTATATTTGTTATACTTATTCATCCATGTTTCTTATTCAGCCTGTCAGGATTTATGCATCTTGACATCTAAATTGCAAAGGAAAGTCCCATCTTTTTAATCAAAAAAAGTTAAAAATTGTTAAATTAAGTGTATACCGTTTTCAAATTGCAGCTTCTTTGTAACTTTTGTGGTTTCTGCAGTGTTTCTTCCTACATCTTCAAACAACGCATTGAGTTGAACATTAATGTCTTCATTTTCTTTTGGACATCTGTTAACAGGATTGACAGAGATTCAGAAGTTATGCTGAACAAAACATCAAACATTTCTTACATGTGATTTGATTAATCTGAAAGTAAAACCTTTCAGTTATTACTATGACTTCTTCCATCATATTTGTTGGCCAATATGAAATAGAAAGTCCACTGAAGGATACTTTACTTTCAGTACCTAAAGTCCAAACTTTTTTTCTGCTTCATCTTCTTGGAACCAGTTGCAGAAATGCATGAACCTAAAGGTGATGTTGTCTCTAAATGGTTTTAAATTCTTCTTTCTGATCTTGGGAAGGAATCATCTGTCTGTAAATGTTTCAACTGAAAAATGTTTTAATTATTTTCTTTATGACGGTTTAACTTGTCCTGTTTTTGCTGTGAATGTTCTGTGTGCTGCTGCCAGTCTTTGCCAAGATTCTCTTGCAAGGAAATTTTTAATCTCAAATGTATTTTTCTTTGGGAAATAAAGGTTAAATAAATAAATAAAACATTCTAACCTCTTAACAGCCTCTCTGAACTCTCTGGTCATGAACAGAACCTGCAGAATGCTGTTCAGGTGACATGTTGCTCCTTGGTTCCTCAACCCGTCGTACTTAATGTCTGTGGGACATTTTGTTACGAAACATCTTACAATATTAACAGAAGAAGATCAATTACGTGATTATTGGAAACTCAGAATTTAGCCCTTACCTTGGTTCATTCTGAATCACTCCACTGATACGGTTTTTCTTCACAGAGCAGAAACAATTTCTGCTGCTGCCGCTGAAGTAAACAGACAGTAAAAGACACTCTCATGAGAGGGAGTCAGAAAACAGCTTTCTCTTTCACTTAGCAAGTAGAGCATTTCATTCAGCTGATGAACAACACTGCATGAAGTCATGAAAGCTCACAAGTTAGAATTCATCTAATATCCATTCTCTTTAATCCGTTTTGGAGATGCTGGGATTTCAGAGGGACGAGACAATAAAGAAATGGTCAAAATCTATTTTTGATACAACGGGGATAAACATCTGCTGTTTTTCTTTTCTTCTTCAGTATTATTTTAAGAAGAATCTGTCAAGAATCTTCATAAATGTAGCTGCAAAAATCCAAATTAAAATGCATTTTAAACTGACAGCAATAGAGATTTCAAATGCCCCTGTCCTCTCTAACAGTGAGGATCAGTAACAGAAAGAAAAAGAACGAGATATAAATGTTTTACTGCTTGGTGTCCAATAACAGGAAGAAAGATGAGAATGGAAGCTCAGGGGAATTCAGGCGTCACTATAGAAAACAATGTTGGCTTCAGAATATAATCAAACAAACAAAATGAAACAAAAACTGAATGAGGATCTGGAAGGTACCTAAAAATCCTGGACTCATGATGTTTAGTTTCTGTTAGTCTTCTACTGAAGAGCCATTCAATAATGTTGCAGCAGCTTTGCACGAAAGAGTCACCTGGGTGCATTTAAGGTGAACTGATAAAGTTCAAAGCCAGCGTCAGAATGAGGAAGAGTTATTTTAAGAAATCTTGGACCTGACGTCTTGATGCCAGACTGACTGGAAGAATATTTCAGAAACTACTGAGGTTTCCATGCACATTTTCTCTCTGTTTGAGAGAATGAGTTCAAATAAGAGAACAGCAGCTGTGGATAAAAATACCTCAATGATGTAAATTATTTACCAACATATTGATTTGTCACAATTTATCAAACTGATTACCAAGTTTTTATAGCAGCATTCAGGTCTTTTAAATTGTTGGATCTGGTGACGTTTTTTATAGACTACCATAAATTCGGTATCAGGTTTGGGTCAGGTCAGTTGCCTAACCACTCCAGAACAACCACTTACCAGAACACTGATACTGTGGCCATTAAAACCAGCAGGTTTTATTTTGTCAGTGGGGAGAAGAGCCAGGAGCTGCAAGGAAATAAAATAATCAGCATCTCCATAAAGTTTATCAGCAGAGAGTGCTCTAAAATTTCCCAGTCAAAGACTGAACTAAATTTGAACTTGATAAACACCAGCAGGTCAATATCACTGACTGTGGAAACGTCACAATCCACGTCAAGAAACTTGTCGACTTCCTCACTCTGGTACCTTGATTTCCGAATGAAATGCAAAATCATGTGAAAACAAGACTTTAGGCTACTGAATAATATTCCAGTCGTCTTTCCCCTTCACCCACGTCAGACATGTCTGAAGTTTTCTTTGGTTCAAAGGTCACAAGGAACATAACAGTTGTTGCCCATGACCTGGATACATTTTGAGTTCTGGCTCCTTAAACACTGTCAAAGTATCCAAACTGAATAATTGTAAATGATTTGGTTTAAGTTTCACTCTTTATTTAGTCAAAACTGTAGCAACATTTTTATTTGTTCAATAATTTCTGATTTCGTATTATTGCACAAATGAACACTCTCTCAGCGTGTTCAGGGCAGAATACTTTCATCACTTGTCTGAGAAGACAAACACAGCCAGAGAGGCACAGAATAAATAGCATGATGATGAGTGTCGGACTTCGGGGTTTGGGGGTTTCACTTGAACAGCAGGTCCTCGTCTGTCTCCTCTGTCAGCATGTTGGCGGACTCGGTGATGGGTCGACTCTCTTATTCTTCATTAGTAAATGAAGAATAAAAGAGTCATACAATATGATAGGATACAAATACAATATCAGAGGCATCAAACAGCACAAAAAGCTACATGTTTGTGTGGACATCCTTTAAAGCAGACGTTCCCAAAGATTTTCTTCTGGTTCCCCCTATGGATTACAATAAAATCCCATCGTTCAACCAGACATAAACCTCAACATATATTTTGTTTTCAAACACCACTGAAATTTATTTCACACTTCAGGTTGCAACAAAACAAAATACAAAGCATCTTTATAGTGAATCACTTATGTGTAATTGTTTTTTTCATTCATCCAGACTGCTTCCCCCCATTCCCTCCTGCCCCTGCAATGGCACTCCGTCCCCCTTAGGGGTGCGCCCACTGCTTTAACGGGTGTTTTATCTGTAGTAGTTTCATAATAATACATTTCACAACATGACAAGTTTTATTTGGAAGGTACTTTGTAGTAAACAAAGGTCAAAGATTGTTCAAATTGTTGCAAAAGTTGGATTTTAAAGATTATAGAAGAGTAGCAAGAACAAGCAGGTAGAAAAAAAACAGTGGTAGCTCATGTATCACTATCATGAGCTGCTATGATGTGATACAGCATCATGATGTGATGTAACATCATAAATGCATCACATCATGGACATAAAATAGAATAGATGTCTATTCCTTATTGGAATTGACATTTATCCCTATGTGGACGAGGACGTTCATTCAACATACGATGTGGAAGAGGACGATCAATCAACATACGATGTGGAAGAGAACGATCAATCAACATAGGAATGGACATCCTAGGTGGAATAGTTTGTCCATTCCACATAGGAATGGACGTCTGTCTGGGGGCAATACCACTGGGGCAAACATCAAAGTCATCTGTTATACATTCATAAGCAGACTTTAGGCAGCCAAAACAAAACGTCATCTTACATCGGGGACATGAAACATCTTTGCATCCTTTCCCAGTGTGCTGCAGCAGTGAGCCGCAGGTGGGACAGGCACGGACCGACGGACACCCTTTGACTCCTCCTGCTAGCTTAATTTGGACTTCTGGACACTCTCTCAGCGTCTTCAGGGCAGAATTGTGGCAGTCGTCGTTTTCGCAGCGGTCGGATCGAGGCTGTGGACCTTTCCACTCCCTCAGACACTGCCAGCAGAACCCAAAGCTGCGTCCCGTCTTCGCTGAGCAACCTGAGCAGCAGACATAGAGGTTCAAGCTGCTCCCTCTGGTCACAGGAGTCATGCAGCCTGGACACTGGGGATAAGAGAGAGGAAACAGGGATTTGAGTCAGACTCAAGTCTGTGTGCAGTTATAATTACACCATCAATAAGATACTTACAAACTTTCTGTTAGGATCTGTGAGGGCAGCATTCTGGGCCAAGGTCGTCTCAAAGGTCTTCATTTCTTCAGGGGTCAACATGGCCATTTTACAAACCTCCTGATAAGACCACTCAGCATGACAGCCAAACTGACCGCATTCAAACCTGGGTTTTCCCTGTATTTAAATAATCACAGAAATTATCAGGACCAAAGGTAAAGAAAAAAACACTTACATGTTCAACAATTTAATAGATGGGTTCCTCACTTCCTTTTCCAGTAGTTAATATTCTGTTAAAAATGCAAAGTCAACACAGAAAATACACTGATGTATTAAGATGCTCTTTAACTCTAAATTTCAAAATTGAAAATTTGTTGTTGGAAAGTCAACTTCAAAAAGAATCACAGCGAATCTGTCGAAGGTAAATAAACTAAAAGCAGCAGAAACAGCAAACATCCATGTAGTTTAATTCAATTAAAAAGAATAAAAGACATGGAATAAAATATTTTACATTTCACATTTGAAAGCAAAAATGATGCAGTGAAATTACAGACATTATCCTGAACATGTGAGTTTGTGGTGAATTAAAAGATTTGTGCAGCTTTTGTTTATGATGACTCTGTGTTTCTGTACATTGAGTATCTACAACTCAAATAAACATGTTTTGAAAGAGAGGAAAGATACATTTTCTTCAATACGATTTTCATATTTATGAAAAATAAGATTTTAAATGAATTTAATGGCAAGAAAACTAGATAAAAAAATAAGAAGCAGAAAATACATGTGGAAAATCAACACCTCATTACTTTTCATCTGAATCAGAATAAAAGTAGTTCTAGTTCTTTTCTATTTTGAATAAGATTATATTTGAATCATATCTCACCTGTTTGAGCAATTGTTGGCACCACTTGGTGAGGGACGTCGGGGTCACTACATGGCCGCAGGACATCCGGGCTCTTGGGGAATCAAACCCTTCACACAGAACTGCAGAAGCATCCAGTGAGATCCTCCAGCATGTTTAAATACTGACTATACAAACTATACATGCTCTAAACAAGACAACAAATGCAGTGAAAACTTGTCGCTGCAGCGCTGATGAACTGAAACGAGCCACTTACAGTCAAACTGATCCACTTCATCCACTAGTGGGATTGTAGAGTCTCTCGGGTTGTAGCGCTTAGTTTTATCGTTCATCTTGAAAAGTCTCCTGGTTTCTGCTGCGATGCTGAAAACAGTCAACTTTACATTGTATTTAGTCGAATAGAAGGAAACTTTCGATTTCGAGCCTGGTTAGTCTGTACGAGTCACGTGACTTTTGCTTTGCAGCCGATCGCTGCAGAAACGCCTACAGGAAAAGACGAGCTGATGGATGGATGGATGGATGGATGGATGGATGGATGGATGGATGGATGGATGGATGGATGGATGGATGGATGGATGGATGGATGGAATTAAATGAACGTCAGTGAAAAATATCGACCACATAAAGAATAAATATTATGTTTTATTGTTCGCAACTTCATGAAAACTAACTGGTGTGAATATTTTGCAGTTTATTAAGAAGAATGAATAATCAGACTAATATCCTTTATTATCCTATCAGGGGGACATTTATGTGCAACAGCAGCAAAGTGAAAAACAAACAAATTAACTAAATTCACACACAGATCGTGATATTTGGTACTTTATTTATTTTTTTTAGCACCAAACATGTAGACAAAGTAATTATTCAAATTAAGTAATTTACAGTTATTTTCTCTCACCACTTTTTATTTTGCATGTGACGCAATATTTATGTTTTCAACGAAACTGAATTGATTAAAGTTTTACTTACAACAGACGATGGTGACAAAAAAAATAACAAAACCTCAGCAATTATTCATTTAAGAGAATAAGAGTTTTATATTGGTGACGTTTCCAGTAAACAGGAGGACATTTAAATACAGATCATTTTTACATTTTTCACGATTATCATGAGCTTGGTGATGATATTCAGTAATATATTATAATGATATTATCTCTCCAGTAAACAGGAGGACATGATGCAGTGGAATCAGGTGTTCAGTGTTCAGTGGATCAGAGTGGAGGGTCGTGGATGATCAGCTCCAGTCCTCCGTTACAGCGCATCACTGCGTGGATCTCAGACTTGTGCTTGATCCCGCAGTCAGCCAACATTTCTGTCTCCTGCAGAGTTTTTCCTTTGTAGATCAGAGACATCATCGTCACCGCTGAAACCGCTGAGATCGCTGCGAAGGCTGAAACTGCTGCGACCGCTGCAAATATAAAATGCAATAAATCATCTTAAAGACCGACACTTTGCGCAAAACAAAGCAGAAAACGCAGTAAGACGATGTCCAAAACCAACAAGAGTGGATTTTTGTTTCTAAGAGAAATGCCATGAAACCTAAAATAAATAAAATCCTTTATATGAAGTAATGACAACATCAGGCAAAATGCATAACATCTTAAATTAGTTCAAACTGTTCAGAACAAATAGCTGCGCATCTAAAGTCTGATATAAATGATAATTGTGGATTTTAAAACTGAAAATTGGCTTTTTAAACTACATGTCATGTTTTCATGTGCTCCATGTCTCAATGCATCTGAAATGAGAATTTCTCAGCAGGTTTATTTACCTACGTCACGGCGCAGCTCCTGCACTCTGTCTAAAAGAAACTTCACAGCAATGTGTTTAAGCTCCTCTTCGCGTTGACACACGCCGATCGGTTTCTTTAAGTTCTGTTCAAAACAAACGAAGACCTGGACCTTGCAAGCCATGGCTTCTTCTTGTGACGACTTTAAACTCTGCTCCGGATTTAAAGCTGCAATGTGAAGAGACTGAACAGGTGGGAGGACTTTATGTGAAAGAATTTGCTTTCATTTTTGTTCAAGGCGTGGCTTGAAATGAAAAATAAAAAAAAAGTGGATCTGAGCAGGATTCGATAAAAACAAAACAAACAACAACCCTATATGCTAATTTATAATTCTTTGGTTTAATAATAATACAATTAAAATTACTTTTTTAATTTTTTCACTTAGTGAATTTATAAAGAAAGCTTTTGGACTTCCTCTTTAATCAGTATAAATAAAGTATGCAGCTAAGACAGATGGTGATTTATCCACCAAGTTTCTCTGTTTTACATTTCTGTCTATTTGCAATTGAAACAATAAAAAGCCTCTTAACGTTCAGTTTCAAACATAAGAGATTATAATTTTCCACAACATTTTAACAGAATGATTTTATAGATGATTAAAAGAAATAAATCTCCATTTACGATAGACGCCCTACTTTGAGTGAGTGCATTCTCTTCAGACGGTGTTTCATTTTATCCACATGACCTCAGTTTTCTTTATTTTGGACATTCTCTCTAAACAGAGAGGAAAATGTGCGTGACAATCGTAGTAGTTTCTGAAACACTCATTCCAGTCAGTCTGGCTCTAAGAAGCTATCAAATCATAAACTCTTCCTCATTGTGATGCCGACTTTGAGCTTCATCAGTTCATCTTTGCTGCACCCAGATGACGAAAGTATTGAGTTGCTGCCATGTTATTGATTGGCTCTTCTGTTATTTAGTCATAATCAATAAACTAGAAAATGCTTTCAGATGAAGCACATTTTGTCGGATTAAAAGTACTTTTTGCAAACAGCAAACTTTAATGGTTTTCTCTGATTTTAAATGTCATGTTTTTATTAGCTGCAAGTGGAAAATTACATAACAGAAATAATGATTGAGAGTAATGACTTATGTCATTACTCCATCTAATCTGTGATAAAGTTCATGAAGCAAATGGACTTTTCTGTAGTATTCTAATTATTGAATTGATTTGTATGTTGAACGATCGTTAAATTAAACTCTCACCATCTACAATAACTCTTTAAAGAACTCTGAGTTAAAATGAGTAATAACATTTTATTACCTTTTGGGATTAATAAAATATTTTTGATTTGATTTGAGCTGACGTAAGAAAGCGGTGAATAAGTGGCCTATGTTCCATATTCCAAGCTTTATACATTAGCAGCAAACTCTCCTAAGAGTTATACTAAACCTTCCGCATTTCTTTTAGTAGGAAGCTGATAGAAAATAAAAATCATGAGCCACGTATTTATTAGGTGCTTTCCAGATCCTCACTCAGTTTTTGTTTCATTTTCTTTGTTTGTTGGAAACGTGAAACCAGTGTCATTTTTACAAGTGACACCAAAATTCCCCAAAGTTTGCCATTTGGCATTTCTTCCTGGAAGCAGCAGGAATTGTTTTTCATTTATTTATTTTTTGGTTACATTTTCCTCTTGGAAAATATGTTAGGATGTCGATCTCCTTAAGTCATTTGCCATCAATCTCTGTAATTTCTGTTTTTAAAGTGCATTCAAGTTTGAGATTTTGCAGGTATTTAAATTCTAATTCAATTTAATTTATTTGAAACAGTTTTTTCATAGAAAAAGGCTGCAAATGTTTACCACAGTTCTGTTAACAGTGGATGTCAGTGTTATTTTACAGATTTGTTCACTCATTACTCTGAAGAAGTAACATCCCCAAAACCTGCAGCTGTCAGGTTGATACAGTATTTATATCTGTGAGCATTATTGACATTACTAGTGTTAGTCAGCTTGATGAAATGTTTTAGTCGCTAAGTGAAAGCGAAAGCTGTTTTCTGACTCTCTCTCATGGGTGCCTCTTACTGTCTGTGTATTTCCACGGTGGCTCAGCAGCAGAAATCGTTTCTACAATGGCGTGAAGAAAAGTCCTATCTGTGCCGTCATTAGTGATTCAGTATGAAGGAAGGTAAGGCTTCCATGCTGCTAATAATTATTTGTTTGCATGTCTTTTATTAATTTTGTGCATTGTTCCATAACAAAACATCCCACAGACATTAAGTACCACGGTTGAGAAACCAAGGAGCAACATGTTACCTGAACAGCATTCTGCAGGTTCAGTTCATGACCAGAGAGTTCAGAGAGGCTGTAGAAAGGTTAGTGAATAAATCATATAGCGTGTTTTGTGTAGGGAGAATATTTGCTGTTTTTTTTTATATATTCTGTATCTCTGACAATATCCTATAAATAGTTGTTCAAAACACCAAGAAGACAAATCAATGTTCGACTCCATACTTTGTTTGAGAGTCTAAAGAAAAAAATCAGAAACCACAGAAGTTACAAAGATGCTGAGAATTGAAAAAGGTACGTAATCAGAGACATTTATAAACTGTTAGCTTGTTTCTAAATAATGGAGGACACTTTCCTTCATAATGAGGATGTGTGAATGCATTAGCGTCAACATAAATCTAGACGAGCTTCAGAAGAAACATGGATGAACATAAAATATGAGCTTAAGCATTAAATGTAAACATAAAAACATATAATTTTATGTCTCATTCTTTCTTTGTTCTCCCAGTGTATGAACAGCAGGATGTTGGTCAGTACCTGGAGAAGATTTTATCTCTGGTCAGCGATGAAGCGTCACAGGTAAAATATTCATGAAAGTCAGATTGAAGAGAGTGTCAATAAAAAATTAAAAGTGTTTTGATTTTAAATCAAATTATATTTTCAGATATTCAGAGGAGAGCTGGTTCACAGGACTGTTTGTGATCAATGTGACTCAGACACTGAAGACTTGGTGCCTTTTTGGTTTCTTTCTCTCCCACTGATGGATTCTAGTGACGGAAACTACAGTGTGGTAAGAAACAACCTGCATAATGGAAACCATTTTATAAAACAAACAAAACTCTGCTCATAAAAGTCATCTGGAATAATCAATGATTTCTGATTATTACTTAGTAGTAATAAGCAATCTGCTGTGTTGGCAGAATGCTGGAAAGAACCTGGTGAAGGTTTGTGCAGTAACAGAAAATGTGTTTCCAGGAAGACGCAATTCGGGAGTTTTTAAAGGATGTACGGTTTTGGAGAAGACCAGCTGTACTGTGATAAATGTGAAGACAATCGTGACACTACTGTTGTAAGTAAAGGGAAACTTGTTTTGGTTAAAAACAAAACAGATATTTTGACAGCATTTTAAAATGTATTAAGAATGTTTAGCTATTAGCTAAACACCCAAATAATGAAAGAGAAACTAAATATTTATCAAATTCTGAAGTTCACATATATTTTATTAGAGTTTGGTAGCATTGTCTTTAAAACGTCATAACCTGGGTCAGATTTTTGACCCATTCCTCCTCACAGAACTGTTCTTTTAAATCAGGTTTTTAGCAGGCTGCCTTGCTCAAGGGTTTGTGATGGCCTCTCAAAGATACTGACTTTGTTATCCCTAATTAATTGGGCAGTATAATTAGGGTCATTGTCCATTTTGGAAGACCACCCTGTACTAAAGCTATAACTACCAGGTCGATTTCTTAAACAACATATCTACATTTTTAAGCAACATTATATATGTTACTTAAATATTTCCACTGTATGTTCTCTCCTCATGATGCTATCAGTTTTGTAAAGTGCAACAGATCCTCCCACAATATGATGCATGCCAAAAATGAAAAATAAGTAAATAAATGTTGATGATCTCTGCAGACCTGGAACAGAAAAGTCTTAGTTTGATTTAATATCAGGCAGTAAAAAAGAGGTTGTGTGTCTTTATATACAGTTAACATAAATATCAGTTTTTAACTGTATCATAACTCTGTGTTTCATGTAGAAATATGAACTAAAGCATCATCCACAGATTTTGATTTTGCTGCTGAAGAGGTTCGAATACAACTATCAGTGCATGTCATACAGTAAAGACAATCGTGCTGTGGATGTTTGTCACACCATCGACTTACCAGAGGTATATTTCAGATTATTGTGATTGTTGCTCATTTTCTTTTCAGATTCCAGATTAATGTGTGTGTTTTTGTGGATCAGAACCAGACATATGAGCTGTATGGTTGGTGGATCACTTTGGGATTCTGAGCAGAGACCATTACACAGCAACAATCAAGCCTGAGGACGAAGAAAACTGGTATGAGTTCAGTGACTCCAGTGTGACACTGGTGAGATAATTATGGGTCGTTTTCACTTTGACAATCAATACTTCACCTTGTTGTAGCACAGCAGAAGTTTAATATTGTTCCTTTTAATAACAGGTTGATAACCAGATGTTCCAGAAAAAAGTTTGAGAGGTAAGTAATTGTCCTTCTTTTCTTCTTCTGTTTATATTTACCGTTCATCATAACTGGAATTTGCGTTCTTTATTCACCAGATCCCAAAGTGCCCATCTTCTGTTTTACAGAAAGAAAAGTGAGATGCAAACAGACCATACAAGCATTTATATTGGGTCACAATATTGTAATATAAATTCAGATACTGAAGAGGAAGATGAAGGAACAGATGGAGACGAAGAGCAGAAAAACTGAGAGACGATGACAAGAGTGAAAACGACGATACGAGGAAAATCACTTCAGACTGTAATAAAAATCACAACAATTTTTGTTTGTCTTTGTTAGCTTTGTTACTTTTGTATTTGTAATTATCTGGATTGTCATTATTGGCATGACGGTCATTCTGAAAGCAAAAGTCACGTGACTCGTACAGACTAACCAGGCTCGAAATCGAAAGTTTCCTTCTATTCGACTAAATACAATGTAAAGTTGACTGTTTTTAATATCGCAGCAGAAACCAGGAGACTTTTCAAGATGAACGATAAAACTAAGCGCTACAACCCGAGAGACTCTACAATCCCACTAGTGGATGAAGAGGATCAGTTTGACTGTAAGTGGCTCGTTTCAGTTCATCAGCGCTGCAGCGACAAGTTTTCACTGCATTTGTTGTCTTGTTTAGAGCATGTATAGTTTGTATAGTCAGTATTTAAACATGCTGGAGGATCTCACTGGATGCTTCTGCAGTTCTGTGTGAAGGGTTTGATTCCCCAAGAGCCCGGATGTCCTGCGGCCATGTAGTGACCCCGACGTCCCTCACCAAGTGGTGCCAACAATTGCTCAAACAGGTGAGATATGATTCAAATATAATCTTATTCAAAATAGAAAAAGAACTAGAACTAGTTTTATTCTGATTCAGATGAAAAGTAATGAGGTATTTCACATGTATTTTCTGCTTCTTTTTTTTATCTAGTTTTCTTGCCATTAAATTAATTTAAAATCTAATTTTTCATAAATATGAAAATCTTATTGAAGAAACTGTATCTTTCCTCTCTTTCAAAACATGTTATTTGAGTTGTAGATACTCAATGTACAGAAACACAGAGTCATCATAAACAAAAGCTGCACAAATCTTTTAATTCACCACAAACTCACATGTTCAGGATAATGTCTGTAATTTTACTGCATCATTTTTGCTTTCAAATGTGAAATGTAAAATATTTTATTCCATGTCTTTTATTCTTTTTAATTGAATTAAACATGGATGTTTGTTGTTTCTGCTGCTTTTAGTTTATTTACCTTCGACAGATTTGCTGTGACTCTTTTTGAAGTTGACTTTCCAAAAACAAATTTTCAACTGTGAAAATTTAGAGTTAAAGAGCATCTTAATACATCAGTGTATTTTCTGTGTTGACTTTGCATTTTTAACAGTATATTAACTACTGGAAAAGGAAGTGAGGAACCCATCTAATAAATTGTTGAACATGTAAGTGTTTTTTTCTTTACCTTTCGTCCTGATAATTTCTGTGATTATTTAAATACAGGGAAAACCCAGGTTTGAATGCGGTCAGTTTGGCTGTAATGCTGAGTGGTCTTATCAGGAGGTTTGTAAAATGGCCATGTTGACCCCTGAAGAAATGACGACCTTTGAGACGACCTTGGCCCAGAATGCTGCCCTCAAAGACCCTAACAGAAAGTTTGTAAGTATCTTATTGATGGTGTAATTATAACTGCACACAGACTTGACTCTGACTCAAATCCCTGTTTCCTCTCTCTTATCCCCAAACAGTGTCCAGGCTGCATGACTCCTGTGACCAGAGGGAGCAGCTTGAACCTCTATGTCTGCTGCTCAGGTTGCTCAGCGAAGACGGGACGCAGCTTTGGGTTCTGCTGGCAGTGTCTGAGGGAGTGGAAAGGTCCACAGCCTCGATCTGACCGCTGCGAAAACGACGACTGCCACAATTCTGCCCTGAAGACGCTGAGAGAGTGTCCAGAAGTCCAAATTAAGCTAGCAGGAGGAGTCAAAGGGTGTCCGTCGGTCCGTGCCTGTCCCACCTGCGGCTCACTGCTGCAGCACACTGGGAAAGGATGCAAAGACGTTTCATGTCCCCGATGTAAGATGACGTTTTGTTTTGGCTGCCTAAAGTCTGCTCAAAGCTGTAGTGTGACAGAAAATCTTGGTACAATGCCACTGGGACTTTGCCCCAGTGGCATTGCTCCTAGGCAGACGTCCATTCCTGTGTGGAATCACAAATCACATGGACATAGAGTGTCTATTCTACACTCTATGTACATGTGTTTTTTGTTTTTTATTTTCCAATTTGTTCTTGGTTGGTTGGGGTTGTGGAAAGCAGCCTGGATTAAAAAAAAACAAAACAGTTACACAAAAGTGATTCACTGTGAAGATGCTGTGTAGTTTGTTTTGTTGCAACCTGAATGAAGTGTGAAATAAACTTCAGTGGAGTTTGAAAACAAAATATATGTTGAGGTTTATGTCTGGTTGAACGATGGGATTTTATTGTAATCCATAGGGGGAACCAGAAGAAAGTCTTTGGGAACGTCTGCTTTAAAGGATGTCCAAACGAACATGTAGCTTTTTGTGCTGTTTTGATGCCTCTGTTATTGTATTTGTATCAACTAATCCTATCATATTGTATGACTCTTTCATCATTCATTAACCAATCTTTGTCATTTGTTTGCATTTTTTCAATAGTACAAACTGAAAAGCAGAAATTGTTGAACAAATAAAAATGTTGCTACAGTTTTGACTAAATAAAGAGTGAAAATTAAACCAAATCATTTACAATTATTCAGTTCGAATACTTTGACAGTGTTTAAAGAGACAGAACTCAAAATGTATCCAGGTCATGGGCAACAACTGTTATGTTCCTTGTGACCTTTGAACCAAAGAAAACTTCAGACATGTCTGACGTGGGTGAAGGGGAAAGACGACTGGAATATTATTCAGTAGCCTAAAGTCTTGTTTTCACATGATTTTGCATTTCACTTGGAAATCAAGGTACCAGAGTGAGGAAGTCGACAAGTTTCTTGACGTGGATTGTGACGTTTCCACAGTCAGTGATATTGACCTGCTGGTGTTTTATCAAGTTCAAATTTAGTTCAGTCTTTGACTGGGAAATTTTAGAGCACTCTCTGCTGATAAACCTTATGGAGATGCTGATTATTTGATTTCCCAGCAGCTCCTGGCTCTTCTCCCCACTGACAAAATAAAACCTGCTGGTTTTAATGGCCACAGTATCAGTGTTCTGGTAAGTGGTTGTTCTGGAGTGGTTAGGCAACTGACCTGACCCAAACCTGATACCGAATTTATGGTAGTCGAGAAAAAACGTCACCAGATCCAACAATTTAAAAGAGCTGAATGCTGCTATAAAAACTTGGTAATCAGTTTGATAAATTGTGACAAATCAATATGTTGGTAAATAATTTACACCAAACCAGACAAACAGCTTCCAGAAACATCCAAATCACTGAGCAGTGAAAGATTTTCACGAGGTGAAGTGAGAATATATTTCCTTTACACAAATTAATTAAACTAGTCAGATTAATGAGCCACACTCTCCCCTAAACCTTTTCTTCTTTCTACTGGCTATAGCTAATGAGGTGAAGGGAAACATAATCATCACCCGATATTTAGTTTGAACCACTGAAGACAAAGATGCCTCCATGCTTTTAATCTTATTTAAGTCAAATTCTGACTCTTCTGATCTGAAGGTCACTTGAGGAAACAAGCAACATTCTTCAGATCTCAGCGTTTTATTTTGGAGAACGAAAACTATAAACTGTGGTCAAAACCTCCTGATTGTAGCAAAACATCATGTGGTTTTCTGCTGCTGTAGCTCACCTGCTTCAACATCTATAGCATTATGAGATGATGTTCTGCCCAAATTTGACATGAGCTGCCGTTTCCTTTTTTTCTCTAAAACCAGTCTGTGCTCTCTTCTCACATCATTGAGGTATTTTTATCCACAGCTGCTGTTCTCTTATTTGAACTCATTCTCTCAAACAGAGAGGAAATGTGCATGAAAACCTCAGTAGTTTCTGAAATATTCTTTAGTTTCTACTAATACTCTTTCAGAAACTACTGAGTCTGGCATCAAGACGTCAGGTCCAAGATTTCTTAAAATAACTCTTCCTCATTCTGACGCTGGCTTTGAACTTTATCAGTTCACCTTAAATGCACCCAGGTGACTCTTTCGTGTAAAGCTGATGCAACATTATTGAATGGCTCTTCAGTAGAAGACTAACAGAAACTAAACATCATGAGTCCAGGATTTTTAGGTACCTTCCAGATCCTCATTCAGTTTTTGTTTCATTTTGTTTGTTTGATTATAATCTGAAGCCAACAATGTTTTCTTCAGTGACGCCTGAATTCCCCTGAGCTTCCATTCTGATCTTTCTTCCTGTTATTGGACACCAAGCAGTAAAACATTTGCATCTCCTTCTTTTTCTTTCTGTTGCTGATCCTCACTGTTAGAGAGGACAGGGGTTGTAAATGTCTTTGGCATTTGAAATCTCTATCAGTTTCTGTCATTGCAGTTTAAAGTGCATTTTAATTTGGATTTTTGCAGCTACATTTATGAAGATTCTTGACAGATTCTTCTTAAAATAATACTGAAGAAGAAAAGAAAAACAGCAGATGTTTATCCCCGTTGTATCAAAAATAGATTTTGACCATTTCTTTATTGTCTCGTCCCTCTGAAATCCCAGCATCTCCAAAACGGATTAAAGAAATGGATATTAGATGAATTCTAACTTGTGAGCTTTCATGACTTCATGCAGTGTTGTTTATCAGCTGAATGAAATGCTCTACTTGCTAAGTGAAAGAGAAAGCTGTTTTCTGACTCCCTCTCTCATGAGAGTGTCTTTTACTGTCTGTTTACTTCAGCGGCAGCAGCAGAAATTGTTTCTGCTCTGTGAAGAAAAACCGTATCAGTGGAGTGATTCAGAATGAACCAAGGTAAGGGCTAAATTCTGAGTTTCCAATAATCACGTAATTGATCTTCTTCTGTTAATATTGTAAGATGTTTCGTAACAAAATGTCCCACAGACATTAAGTACCGTGGGTTGAGGAACCAAGGAGCAACATGTCACCTGAACAGCATTCTGCAGGTTCTGTTCATGACCAGAGAGTTCAGAGAGGCTGTTAAGAGGTTAGAATGTTTTATTTATTTATTTAACCTTTATTTCCCAAAGAAAAATACATTTGAGATTAAAAATTTCCTTGCAAGAAAATCTTGGCAAAGACTGGCAGCAGCACACAGAACATTCACAGCAAAAACAGGACAAGTTAAACTGTCATAAAGAAAATAATTAAAACATTTTTCAGTTGAAACATTTACAGACAGATGATTCCTTCCCAAGATCAGAAAGAAGAATTTAAAACCATCACCTTTAGGTTCATGCATTTCTGCAACTGGTTCCAAGAAGATGAAGCAGAAAAAAAGTTTGGACTTTAGGTACTGAAAGTAAAGTATCCTTCAGTGGACTTTCTATTTCATATAGGCCAACAAATATGATGGAAGAAGTCATAGTAATAACTGAAAGGTTTTACTTTCAGATTAATCAAATCACATGTAAGAAATGTTTGATGTTTTGTTCAGCATAACTTCTGAATCTCTGTCAATATCCTGTTAACAGATGTCCAAAAGAAAATGAAGACATTAATGTTCAACTCAATGCGTTGTTTGAAGATGTAGGAAGAAACACTGCAGAAACCACAAAAGTTACAAAGAAGCTGCAATTTGAAAACGGTATACACTTAATTTAACAATGTTTAACTTTTTTGATTAAAAAGATGGGACTTTCCTTTGCAATTTAGATGTCAAGATGCATAAATCCTGACAGGCTGAATAAGAAACATGGATGAATAAGTATAACAAATATAGACAATATAGAAATACAGTATATTATGTCTCCTTCTTTCTTTGTTCTCCCAGTGTATGAACAGCAGGATGTTGGTCAGTACCTGGAGAAGATTTTATCTCTGGTCAGCGATGAAGCGTCACAGGTAAATTATTCCTGAAAGTCAGATTGGAGAAAGTGTAAATAAAAAATTAAAAGCTGTTAGATTTTAAATCAAATTATATTTTCAGATATTCAGAGGAGAGCTGGTTCACAGGACTGTTTGTGATCAATGTGACTCAGACACTGAAGACTTGGTGCCTTTTTGGTTTCTTTCTCTCCCACTGATGGATTCTAGTGATGGAAACTACAGTGTGGTAAGAAACAACCTGCATAATGGAAACCATTTTATAAAACAAACAAAACTCTGCTCATAAAAGTCATCTGGAATAATCAACAATTTCTGATTATTACTTAGTAGTAATAAGCAATCTGCTGTGTTGGCAGAATGCTGGAAAGAACCTGGTGAAGGTTTGTGCAGTAACAGAAAATGTGTTTCCAGGAAGACGCAATTCGGGAGTTTTTAAAGGATGTACGGTTTTATGGAGAAGACCAGCTGTACTGTGATAAATGTGAAGACAATCGTGACACTACTGTTGTAAGTAAAGGGAAACTTGTTTTGGTTAAAAACAAAACAAAACAGATATTTTGACAGCATTTTAAAATGTATTAAGAATGTTTAGCTATTAGCTAAACACCCAAATAATGAAAGAGAAACTAAAATATTTGTCAAATTCTGAAGTTCACATATATTTTATTAGAGTTTGGTAGCATTGTCTTTAAAACGTCATAACCTGGGTCAGATTTTTGACCCATTCCTCCTCACAGAACTGTTCTTTTAAATCAGGTTTTTAGCAGGCTGCCTTGCTCAAGGGTTTGTGATGGCCTCTCAAAGATACTGACTTTGTTATCCCTAATTAATTGGGCAGTATAATTAGGGTCATTGTCCATTTTGGAAGACCACCCTGTACTAAAGCTATAACTACCAGGTCGATTTCTTAAACAACATATCTACATTTTTAAGCAACATTATATATGTTACTTAAATATTTCCACTGTATGTTCTCTCCTCATGATGCTATCAGCTTTGTAAAGTGCAACAGATCCTCCCACAATATGATGCATGCCCAAAAATGAAAAATAAGTAAATAAATGTTGATGATCTCTGCAGACCTGGAACAGAAAAGTCTTAGTTTGATTTAATATCAGGCAGTAAAAAAGAGGTTGTGTGTCTTTATATACAGTTAACATAAATATCAGTTTTTAACTGTATTAATAACTCTGTGTTTCATGTAGAAATATGAACTAAAGCATCATCCCGAGATTTTGATTTTGCTGCTGAAGAGGTTCGAATACAACTATCAGTGCATGTCATACAGTAAAGACAATCGTGCTGTGGATGTTTGTCACACCATCGACTTACCAGAGGTATATTTCAGATTATTGTGATTGTTGCTCATTTTCTTTTCAGATTCCAGATTAATGTGTGTGTTTTGTGGATCAGAACCAGACATATGAGCTGTATGGGTTGGTGGATCACTTTGGACTCTGAGCGGAGGCCATTACACAGCAACAATCAAGCCTGAGGACGAAGAAAACTGGTATGAGTTCAGTGACTCCAGTGTGACACTGGTGAGATAATTATCCTGCAGCTGTGGGTGTTTTCACTTTGACAATCAATACTTCACCTTGTTGTAGCACAGCAGAAGTTTAATATTGTTCCTTTTAATAACAGGTTGATAACCAGATGTTCCAGAAAAAGTTTGAGAGGTAAGTAATTGTCCTTCATTTTCTTCTTCTGTTTATATTTACCGTTCATCAAAACTGGAATTTGCGTTCTTTATTCACCAGATCCCGAAGTGCCCATCTTCTGTTTTACAGAAAGAAAAGTGAGATGCAAACAGACCATACAAGCATTTATATTGGGTCACAATATTGTAATATAAATTCAGATACTGAAGAGGAAGATGAAGGAACAGATGGAGACGAAGAGCAGAAAAAACTGAGAGATGATGACAAGAGTGAAAACGACGATACGAGGAAAATCACTTCAGACTGTGATAAAAATCACAATAATTTGTGTTTGTCTTTGTTAGCTTTGTTACTTTTTGTATTTGTAATTATCTGGATTGTCATTATTGACACGACGGTCATTCCGAATGAATTCATTCTCTTTGGTTTACTCTTTCTTTTAGGGTTACCCTTATTACTTTGGTGGAAATGCATTAAAAAAGACAAAATATCGGCGAGCCACTGTGTTTCACCACTTGTTTGTCAGAAAGGACTAAATCATGGTTCGCCTTAGAACGGATCTATCAAATTAACTAAATTCAAATTTATTTAGCTCACAATTACCTGTGAACAAATCAGTTGAAAAATGTTCCATTTTAACAAAACAAAAATTTAAAAGGGGCAGCATTATGCAAAATGGACTTTTCTGAACCTTACATCATGTTATAATGTCTTTCCTTCATCAAAACATGCCTAGAGCCTTGATTAATATCCATGACAACCATTCAGCTCTTGGTTGCATGGAGCGCCGCCGTCAAGTTTCCAAGTTTCCACCTCACAGAGAAGCCTTTCCCTCTCAGTCCCCACTCGGCTCCTTCAGACTAGCTAGTAGTAATTAGCAAACACCTAATAATGAGCATCAGCTGAGCTCTTTATACAAATTGCTTCTCAGTAAAACACTGTTAAACACACTTTGAAAAACGTTGATAAATAGATAAATAGAGGAGCCATGTTGTGATCACTTCCTAAAGGTGGAGTTTCAGAAATGGAATCAGTTTCCAGAGAAACAGAGGTCCAATTACAAGGCATTAAATTGCAAAGTCAATTTTTCTTTGAAGTCATATTTATATTGATAACATTTTAACAATTGAAGATAACATAGTTATTTGACTAGTTATTGTGATATAAAATGGAAATATGTGCCTGGAAAATACACAGTTCTGCTCCTATAAGTTCTCACTTCTGTTGTTTCTTCTAATTTCTTCTTGTCTTATAAACAATTTATAGAATCAACAGATCCAAGTAATCAGTTTGTCCCCTTGTGACATTGTAAATATATGTTTAGTGAATGATTTGTATCTTTTGTTTATATGTGAATAAAACATTATTCATTTTTCATGCTTTTTTTGTTTCTCTTTCTTAAACACTAAATTATTTTTTTCTTACATGTTTGATTTTGAAACATGGAGGTTGTTGTTTTCTACGCTATTAATGTTTCACATTTTTAAAATAATCCGTCATCTTTCATTGACCTAGAAGAAGACAGTTGTTTCCAAAGTCAGGTTAAGTTCTGGTTTTCTCTGAATTTGTCCTCTGCACTAAAAGTAAAGTTTTGCATTAAATAAATTTAATTTGCTCATGAACTCAACAAAACAAACAACACTCAATCAAAACTGCATCCTTACTTAATGTTGTTATGTTTTGCTGTTTTTATATGCAGGATTCTGTATATGTTGTCAACATCATGTTGTGCTTTTTAAATGATTATTACTTCATGTTTTACTAGTCTTTAGATGTACCGTTTAAAAAGCCCATCTAGATTCAAGGGCTGTGAATTAACTGTTGCTATAAGCACTTTATGCAAACATGGGACTGATGCTCTGTTCAGTTAGTATAGGTCGATGTGCATCTGTCCCCATCAAATGAACTTAAATTAATTAAATTAAATTAAGGAAGTTCACTGTCATGCAGACTGACTGGTTGTAGTAACTCCAGCAGGAGAAACCATGGATGAAGAGTCTTGTGGTCACATTGTAGAGCCTTGCCTTATCACTGTACTGCCACCAGATATCAACAAAGCATCACAACTCAGAAACAAATACTGTTATATTTATTATGCTGTATTACATCATATTTAACTACTTTGATTGCCGTTATTATCGATCTCTCTCATTTTTTATCTTTCACTTTTGGGGAAAATGTGTGAAGAAAACGTATCGTTCTCTAAAACTGTGATGAACACGCTTGTCCCATTCAGAGAAATTAATAGTTAACAGAGCAGTTGTATCTGTAATTATAGTAGATCCAGGATAATAATGAATTGATCTTGTAGGTACAGAGGTTTTAAAATGTTACTGTATTACAAAATGACTGTTGTTGTTTTTAAATGAACTAAACAAGCTAACTTTTTACAACGGCTCACTGGAAACACATAATTAAATCGTATTCTTTATACATTTTAGCTTTTTGCAAAAAAACAACCCCTAATCGTATTGTTGTTGAGGAGACAAGGAAAGCCGGGCATTCCCTGTGATTAGACAACATGCTTCTAATCAGAGGGATTGAAATGTTAAAGTAAAAATATGTCTGCTGATATCTGAATGCAGGTAAAGGACAGTCAGTTTGTTGATTCTGACCCAACAAATAACAGAGACAGAAAAAATAAAATACTGTAGACAGCAGCAGGATTTTAATGAAACAGTTTAAATAACTTGCATTGTAACATCAAGCAGACTTGGACAGCTGCATACAGAGGAAATCCCTCCTGATGAGTCAAATCAATAGTAATCAATATGTATATAATCTACTATATATATATATATATCTATATATAGATATAGATAGATATATATATATATATATATATGTAACGTATAATGTAATACATAATCAATATATACTATATAGTATACTACATAAATTATATGTCTATAATCAGTAGATTATAGACATATAGTTTGATTTTTGTTCCAGTAATCTTTTCAACAAACCAATTGTAAATATTACTTTATCTCTGTGTTTCTTTGCTATTGTCTAGTTGTTGTTGAACTCCATTCATCTGTCAGGTTGGTTTAATTTGATGTTGATCAGTTTATTTTCTCTTCAATAAAGCCAGTCACCCTATTTATTTCCAGAGATATTGGCTAATAAGCATCTATCCACTTAGTGGCGCCTCTCATAATGCTGAGGTAATATAGTAAGATACATTTTTGGAATGGAAAATGGAAACTGGAAAATGGAAGAAGGTGAGTTGTAAAGCAAGTCTGAACCATGATGGATGTGATTATTTGATTATCATTTATGTGTTGTCGATTGTTTTCCGTAATAATGTAAGCACTGAATAGATCAGCACTTCTTTTTCTTTTTCTTCTCCAGCGAGTGTAAAAAAAGAAACATTTTCTCAGAATTGTTTGATGTTCTAAATCTAATCCTTAAATGTTGGTTGATCCAATCATCAATTTTTCAGTGTATTAGTTCATCATTTAATTGTGTTCAGGTTTTCAGTTTAGTGTAAATGACAACTTATATGAATATGTTTGCTCATCTCAACAGCACAGAATAAAGTCTTATTTACCTCTGAAAAGGACAGGAGACATAAACCATCATAAACCACTAGTAAGTCAAACACGTTGTAAAAAAACCACAGTAAAATAAAACAGGACATGTAGATAAATGTCAGGGCATCCATAAATATCAAAGTATGAAAATGAAGGAGTGATTCAAGTGTCTTGAGTAATGTTGAAGAATAAGTTGCTCCACTGCAAGCAGTGAAAGCAAATACTCCTTTACTTTAAAGTCTGGTTCTGAGAACATGTAACAGCACTTTATTATTTGAGTTAAGATGTTTCTTTTAAAACACAGAAAACAAGAAACTAATACGTTTACCAAAGGAACATCACAAAAAAATGTATCTGCAGTGGGTAATTGGAAAGCAAACTACAAACCCTATCCGTAGGGCGGGGGTAGAGTCCAGTCCTCGAGAGCTGCAGTCCTGCAACTTTTAAATGCCTCCTCACTCCAAAAGACCGGGATCACCTCTGAACAGGCCTGGCAACCAGCAATTTATTTGATTCAGGTGTGTTGGAGCAAGGATGCATCTGAAAGAAGCAGGAAGGCTCTGAGGACTGGACTTGAGGACCCCTGCCCCACGGTTAAGTCCCGGTTCACATTGATTTCCTCCATCTAAGCTTAAAATGTTGCAGTTTAATGTTCATCAACTGTGAAACTTCTTTATTTTATTAAACATCAAATGATATCTGCAAAATTTTTATTCTCATTGTACATTTTATGCCGTCCAATTAACTCATGAAACATTATTTTTGACTGTATAAAAGTGTTTCACTCTTTCTAGAGTTAGAGTTAGATTGACTAAAGTAAAGGCAACCGCATCTCTTAGCTGTTTAGAATTGTATTTGAAATGTAATATGTAACAATCTATTGTTTATTCTATGTTTCATACATCATAAAAAGTGTTTATGATGTAAAACACTTTGAAATGCCTTGCTGCTGAAATGTGCTATACAAATAAAATTTGATTTGATTTTAGCAAATTTCTTCATGCGCGTTAGATGTTGAAGCTTGAACGAGGTGGCAGCAGCAGAAGACCACACTGGGTTTAGCTGTGAGGCTGTGCTCAGGTTCTCCCAAATCAGACACTGACAGATTTGAACAATCTTTCACAAAACCAAAATGATCTTACAGGGCATCTCAAAGTTCAAGGTCACATTATGGAGAGTGATGTGGAAAAAAGAAAACTATTACCAAGCACTGTCAGGTGAAATCACTCAATCGGGTCTATGTATTGTGCACAATACATAGACCTTGTAATCAATAATGAAGAAGTTCTGGGTGAAAAGCTCTGCCAGGCAAAGACAACACCAGTTTTATACCAAGGTAAGGAGTCCAAAACATGGGAGAGTCCGGTTCCCTTGCAGCTGCAGCAAAACAATTCCCAATCTTGTGTGTTTAGCCTAAACAGGTTCTTTTAGTGAAAGTTCACAAGCATTTAATATGGCATTATCAGCAGATGTTAACTTGTGGTAATTTTCCACCACAGAGGGCACAGAAAGTCTTTGAATATTACAGAATTGCATGATGTAAATATAATTTAAAAAAGCATCAAACAACACAAAATAGCGACATTCAATGTGATAATCCTTCACACATCAATAGGTGTTCAAGTTGTTGTTCCAGGGAAACTGAAAGTCTCATTACTTTAACAATGATCATGAAAAGATCTATCTGCAAGCTATTTTATAATGAGCAGAGCACAAATATAATTGGAATTGTCATAATTGCTGCTTGTTGATTTGAAATATAATTAATGAAAAGCAAAGAAGAAGCAGGTTGCATAAGAACAGTGGCAGTTTACATAATTGACATCATTTCCTCTGCCACACAGGTATAGACGTCTGTCTGGGAACAATGTCAGTGGAGCACACGCCGTAAACATTGTTGCTTCCTGTGGTCCTGCATTCACTAGTTGTCTTTAAGCAGCCAAAACAGAATATTATCTTACATCGGGGACATAAAATGTCCTTGCATCCTTTCCCAGTGTGCTGCAGCAGTGAGCCGCAGGTGGGACAGGCACGGACCGACGGACACCCTTTGACTCCTCCTGCTAGCTTAATTTGGACTTCTGGACACTCTCTCAGCGTCTTCAGGGCAGAATTGTGGCAGTCGTCGTTTTCGCAGCGGTCGGATCGAGGCTGTGGACCTTTCCACTCCCTCAGACACTGCCAGCAGAACCCAAAGCTGCGTCCCGTCTTCGCTGAGCAACCTGAGCAGCAGACATAGAGGTTTAAGCTGCTCCCTCTGGTCACAGGAGTCATGCAGCCTGGACACTGTTTGGGGATAAGAGAGAGGAAACAGGGATTTGAGTCAGAGTCAAGTCTGTGTGCAGTTATAATTACACCATCAATAAGATACTTACAAACTTTCTGTTAGGATCTGTGAGGGCAGCATTCTGGGCCAAGGTCGTCTCAAAGGTCTTCATTTCTTCAGGGGTCAACATGGCCATTTTACAAACCTCCTGATAAGACCACTCAGCATTACAGCCAAACTGACCGCATTCAAACCTGGGTTTTCCCTGTATTTAAATAATCACAGAAATTATCAGGACCAAAGGTAAAGAAAAAAACACTTACATGTTCAACAATTAGGTTCCTCACTTCCTTTTCCAGTAGTTAATATTCTGTTAAAAATGCAAAGTCAACACAGAAAATACACTGATGTATTAAGATGCTCTTTAACTCTAAATTTCACAGTTGAAAATTTGTTGGAAAGTCAACTTCAAAAAGAATCACAGCGAATCTGTCGAAGGTAAATAAACTAAAAGCAGCAGAAACAACAAACATCCATGTTTAATTCAATTAAAAAGAATAAAAGACAGAATAAAATATTTTACATTTCACATTTGAAAGCAAAAATGATGCAGTGAAATTACAGACATTATCCTGAACATGTGAGTTTTTGTGAATTAAAAGATTTGTGCAGCTTTTGTTTATGATGACTCTGTGTTTCTGTACATTGAGTATCTACAACTCAAATAAACATGTTTTGAAAGAGAGGAAAGATACAGTTTCTTCAATAAGATTTTCATATTTATGAAAAAGATTTTAAATGAATTTAAGGACAAGAAAACTAGATAAAAAAAAGAAGCAGAAAATACATGTGAAATACCTCATTACTTTTCATCTGAATCAGAATAAAACTAGTTCTAGTTCTTTTTCTATTTTGAATAAGATTATATTTGAATCATATCTCACCTGTTTGAGCAATTGTTGGCACCACTTGGTGAGGGACGTCGGGGTCACTACATGGCCGCAGGACATCCGGGCTCTTGGGGAATCAAACCCTTCACACAGAACTGCAGAAGCATCCAGTGAGATCCTCCAGCATGTTTAAATACTGACTATACAAACTATACATGCTCTAAACAAGACAACAAATGCAGTGAAAACTTGTCGCTGCAGCGCTGATGAACTGAAACGAGCCACTTACAGTCAAACTGATCCTCTTCATCCACTAGTGGGATTGTAGAGTCTCTCGGGTTGTAGCGCTTAGTTTTATCGTTCATCTTGAAAAGTCTCCTGGTTTCTGCTGCGATATTAAAAACAGTCAACTTTACATTGTATTTAGTCGAATAGAAGGAAACTTTCGATTTCGAGCCTGGTTAGTCTGTACGAGTCACGTGACTTTGGCTTTCAGAATGTCTGTCATGCCAATAATGACAATCCAGATAATTACAAGTACAAAAAGTAACAAAGCTAACAAAGACAAACAAAAATTGTTGTGATTTTTATTACAGTCTGAAGTGATTTTCCTCGTATCGTCGTTTTCACTCTTGTCATCGTCTCTCAGTTTTTTCTGCTCTTCGTCTCCATCTGTTCCTTCATCTTCCTCTTCAGTATCTGAATTTATATTACAATATTGTGACCCAATATAAATGCTTGTATAGTCTGTTTGCATCTCACTTTTCTTTCTGTAAAACAGAAGATGGGCACTTCGGGATCTGGTGAATAAAGAACGCAAATTCCAGTTTTGATGAACGGTAAATATAAACAGAAGAAGAAAATGAAGGACGATTACTAACCTCTCAAACTTTTTCTGGAACATCTGGTTATCAACCTGTTATTAAAAGGAACAATATTAAACTTCTGCTGTGCTACAACAAGGTGAAGTATTGATTGTCAAAGTGAAAACGACCCATAATTATCTCACCAGTGTCACACTGGAGTCACTGAACTCATACCAGTTTTCTTCATCCTCAGGCTTGATTGTTGCTGTGTAATGGCCTCCGCTCAGAGTCCCAAAGTGATCCACCAACCCATACAGCTCATATGTCTGGTTCTGATCCACAAAACACACACATTAATCTGGAATCTGAAAAGAAAATGAGCAACAATCACAATAATCTGAAATATACCTCTGGTAAGTCGATGGTGTGACAAACACCCACAGCACGATTGTCTTTACTGTATGACATGCACTGATAGTTGTATTCAAACCTCTTCAGCAGCAAAATCAAAATCTCTGGATGATCCTTTAGTTCATATTTCTACATGAAACACAGAGTTATTAATACAGTTAAAAACTGATATTTATGTTAACTGTATATAAAGACACACAACCTCTTTTTTACTGCCTGATATTAAATCAAACTAAGACTTTTCTGTTCCAGGTCTGCAGAGATCATCAACATTTATTTACTTATTTTTCATTTTTGGGCATGCATCATATTATGGGAGGATCTGTTGCACTTTACAAAACTGATAGCATCATGAGGAGAGAACATACAGTGGAAATATTTAAGTAACATATATAATGTTGCTTAAAAATGTAGATATGTTGTTTAAGAAATCGACCTGGTAGTTATAGCTTTAGTACAGGGTGGTCTTCCAAAATGGACAATGACCCTAATTATACTGCCCAATTAATTAGGGATAACAAAGTCAGTATCTTTGAGAGGCCATCACAAACCCTTGAGCAAGGCAGCCTGCTAAAAACCTGATTTAAAAGAACAGTTCTGTGAGGAGGAATGGGTCAAAAATCTGACCCAGGTTATGACGTTTTAAAGACAATGCTACCAATCTCTAATAAAATATATGGGAACTTCAGAATTTGACAAATATTTTAGTTTCTCTTTCATTATTTGGGTGTTTAGCTAATAGCTAAACATTCTTAATACATTTTAAAATGCTGTCAAAATATCTGCTTTGTTTTGTTTTTGTTTTGTTTTTAACCAAAACAAGTTTCCCTTTACTTACAACAGTAGTGTCACGATTGTCTTCACATTTATCACAGTACAGCTGGTCTTCTCCATAAAACCGTACATCCTTTAAAAACTCCTGAATTGCGTCTTCCTGGAAACACATTTTCTGTTACTGGACAAACCTTCACCAGGTTCTTTCCAGCATTCTGCCAACACAGCAGATTGCTTATTACTACTAAGTAATAATCAGAAATTGTTGATTATTCCAGATGACTTTTATGAGCAGAGTTTTGTTTGTTTTATAAAATGGTTTCCATTATGCAGGTTGTTTCTTACCACACTGTAGTTTCCATCACTAGAATCCATCAGAGGGAGAGAAAGAAACCAAAATGGCACCAAGTCTTCAGTGTCTGAGTCACATTGATCACAAACAGTCCTGTGAACCAGCTCTCCTCTGAATATCTGAAAATATAATTTGATTTAAAATCTAACAGCTTTTAATTTTTTATTTACACTTTCTCCAATCTGACTTTCAGAAATAATTTACCTGTGACGCTTCATCGCTGACCAGAGATAAAATCTTCTCCAGGTACTGACCAACATCCAGCTGTTCATACACTGAGAGAACAAAGAAAGAATGAGACATAATATACTGTATTTCTATATTGTCTATATTTGTTATATTTATTCATCCATGTTTCTTATATAGCCTGTCCAGATTTATGCATCTTGACATCTAAATTGCAAAGGAAAGTCCCATCTTTTTAATCAAAAAAAGTTAAAAATTGTTAAATTAAGTGTATACCGTTTTCAAATTGCAGCTTCTTTGTAACTTTTGTGGTTTCTGCAGTGTTTCTTCCTACATCTTCAAACAACGCATTGAGTTGAACATTAATGTCTTCATTTTCTTTTGGACATCTGTTAACAGGATATTGACAGAGATTCAGAAGTTATGCTGAACAAAACATCAAACATTTCTTACATGTGATTTGATTAATCTGAAAGTAAAACCTTTCAGTTATTACTATGACTTCTTCCATCATATTTGTTGGCCTATATGAAATAGAAAGTCCACTGAAGGATACTTTACTTTCAGAACCTAAAGTCCAAACGGAACTTGGAAATAAATATTTTCAGTTTTCTGCTTCATCTTCTTGGAACCAGTTGCAGAAATGCATGAACCTAAAGGTGATGTTGTCTCTAAATGGTTTTAAATTCTTCTTTCTGATCTTGGGAAGGAATCATCTGTCTGTAAATGTTTCAACTGAAAAATGTTTTAATTATTTTCTTTTAGACAGTTTAACTTGTCCTGTTTTTGCTGTGAATGTTCTGTAACTTCTGTGTGCTGCTGCCAGTCTTTGCCAAGATTTTCTTGCAAGGAAATTTTTAATCTCAAATGTATTTTTCTTTGGGAAATAAAGGTTAAATAAATAAATAAAACATTCTAACCTCTTAACAGCCTCTCTGAACTCTCTGGTCATGAACAGAACCTGCAGAATGCTGTTCAGGTGACATGTTGCTCCTTGGTTCCTCAACCCACGGTACTTAATGTCTGTGGGACATTTTGTTACGAAACATCTTACAATATTAACAAAAGAAGATCAATTACGTGATTATTGGAAACTCAGAATTTAGCCCTTACCTTGGTTCATTCTGAATCACTCCACTGATACGGTTTTTCTTCACAGAGCAGAAACAATTTCTGCTGCTGCCGCTGAAGTAAACAGACAGTAAAAGACACTCTCATGAGAGAGGGAGTCAGAAAACAGCTTTCTCTTTCACTTAGCAAGTAGAGCATTTCATTCAGCTGATAAACAACACTGCATGAAGTCATGAAAGCTCACAAGTTAGAATTCATCTAATATCCATTCTCTTTAATCCGTTTTGGAGATGCTGGGATTTCAGAGGGACGAGACAATAAAGAAATGGTCAAAATCTATTTTTGATACAACGGGGATGAACATCTGCTGTTTTTCTTTTCTTCTACAGTATTATTTTAAGAAGAGTCTGTCAAGAATCTTCATAAATGTAGCTGCAAAAATCCAAATTAAAATGCACTTTCAACTGCAATGACAGAAACTGATAGAGATTTCAAATGCCAAAGACATTTACAACCCCTGTCCTCTCTAACAGTGAGGATCAGCAACAGATAGAAAAAGAAGGAGATGCAAATGTTTTACTTATGCTTGGTGTCCAATAACAGGAAGAAAGATCAGAATGGAAGCTCAGGGGAATTCAGACGTCACTGAAGAAAACAATGTTGGCTTCAGATTGTAATCAAACAAACAAAATGAAACAAAAACTGAATGAGGATCTGGAAAGTACCTAAAAATCTTTGACTCATGATGTTTAGTTTCTGTTAGTCTTCTACTGAAGAGCCATTCAATAATGTTGCAGCAGCTTTAAACGAAAGAGTCACCTGGGTGCATTTAAGGTGAACTGATAAAGTTCAAAGCCAGCGTCAGAATGAGGAAGAGTTATTTTAAGAAATCTTGGACCTGACATCTTGATGCCAGACTCAGTAGTTTCTGAAAGAGTATTAGTAGAAACTAAAGAGTATTTCAGAAACTACTGAGGTTTCCATGCACATTTTCTCTCAGTTTGAGAGAATGAGTTCAAATAAGAGAACAGCAGCTGTGGATAAAAATACCTCAATGATGTGAGAAGAGAGCACAGACTGGTTTTAGAGAAAAAAAGGAAACGGCAGCTCATGTCAAATTTGTGCAGAACATCATCTTATAATGATGAAGCAGGTGAGCTACAGCAGGAGAAAATCACATGGATGTTTTGACCACAGTTTATAGTTTTGGTTCTCCAAAATGAAATGCTGAGATCTGAAGAATGTTGCCTGTTTCCTCAAGTGACCTTCAGATCAGAAGAGTCAGAATTTGACTTAAATAAGATTAAAAGCATGGAGGCATCTTTGTCTTCAGTGGTTCAAACTAAATATCGGGTGATGATTATGTTTCCCTTCACCTCATTAGCTATAGCCAGTAGAAAGAAGAAAAGGTTTAGGGGAGAGTGTGGCTCATTAATCTGACTAGTTTAATTAATTTGTGTAAAGGAAATATATTTCCACTTCACCTTGTGAAAATCTTTCACTGCTCAGTGATTTAGATGTTTCTGGAAGCTGTTTGTCTGGTTTGGTGTAAATTATTTACCAACATATTGATTTGTCACAATTTATCAAACTGATTACCAAGTTTTTATAGCAGCATTCAGGTCTTTTAAATTGTTGGATCTGGTGACGTTTTTTCTCGACTACCATAAATTCGGTATCAGGTTTGGGTCAGGTCAGTTGCCTAACCACTCCAGAACAACCACTTACCAGAACACTGATACTGTGGCCATTAAAACCAGCAGGTTTTATTTTGTCAGTGGGGAGAAGAGCCAGGAGCTGCTGGGAAATCAAATAATCAGCATCTCCATAAAGTTTATCAGCAGAGAGTGCTCTAAAATTTCCCAGTCAAAGACTGAACTAAATTTGAACTTGATAAACACCAGCAGGTCAATATCACTGACTGTGGAAACGTCACAATCCACGTCAAGAAACTTGTCGACTTCCTCACTCTGGTACCTTGATTTCCAAGTGAAATGCAAAATCATGTGAAAACAAGACTTTAGGCTACTGAATAATATTCCAGTCGTCTTTCCCCTTCACCCACGTCAGACATGTCTGAAGTTTTCTTTGGTTCAAAGGTCACAAGGAACATAACAGTTGTTGCCCATGACCTGGATACATTTTGAGTTCTGGCTCCTTAAACACTGTCAAAGTATTCAAACTGAATAATTGTAAATGATTTGGTTTAATTTTCACTCTTTATTTAGTCAAAACTGTAGCAACATTTTTATTTGTTCAACAATTTCTGCTTTTCAGTTTGTACTATTGCAAAAACACAATCAAATGACAAAGATTGGTTAATAAATGATGAAAGAGTCATACAATATGATAGGATTACTTGGTACAAATACAATAACAGAGGCATCAAAACAGCACAAAAAGCTACATGTTCGTTTGGACATCCTTTAAAGCAGACGTTCCCAAAGACTTTCTTCTGGTTCCCCCTATGGATTACAATAAAATCCCATCGTTCAACCAGACATAAACCTCAACACATATTTTGTTTTCAAACTCCACTGAAGTTTATTTCACACTTCAGGTTGCAACAAAACAAACTACATAGCATCTTTACAGTGAATCACTTTTGTGTAACTGTTTTGGTTTTTTTTAATCCAGACTGCTTCCCCCAACCCCAACCCCCCAAGAACAAACTGGAAAATAAAAAACACAAATCACACGTACATAGAGTAGAATAGACGTCTATTCCCATTCCACATCGGAATCGGAATTGGAATAGGAATCCAAATCTGAATCTAACTCTATATCGGATTCAAAATAGAAATCAAAGTTCATTCCTCTGAGAAATAGATGTCCATCCCACACAGGAATGGACGTCTGCCTAGGAGCAATGCCACTGGGGCAAAGTCCCAGTGGCATTGTACCAAGATTTTCTGTCACACTACAGCTTTGAGCAGACTTTAGGCAGCCAAAACAAAACGTCATCTTACATCGGGGACATGAAATGTCCTTGCATCCTTTCCCAGTGTGCTGCAGCAGTGAGCCGCAGGTGGGACAGGCACGGACCGACGGACACCCCTTGACTCCCTTCACAGAGTTGATTTGGACTTCTGGACACTCTCTCAGCGTCTTCAGGGCAGAATTGTGGCAGTCGTCGTTTTGCAGCGGTCCGATCGAGGCTGTGGACCTTTCCACTCCCTCAGACACTGCCAGCAGAACCCAAAGCTGCGTCCCGTCTTCGCTGAGCAACCTGAGCAGCAGACATAGAGGTTCAAGCTGCTCCCTCTGGTCACAAGAGTCATGCAGCCTGGACACTGTTTGGGGATAAGAGAGAGGAAACAGGGATTTGAGTCAGAGTCAAGTCTGTGTGCAGTTATAATTACACCATCAATAAGATACTTACAAACTTTCTGTTAGGGTCTTTGAGGGCAGCATTCTGGGCCAAGGTCGTCTCAAAGGTCTTCATTTCTTCAGGGTCAACATGGCCATTTTACAAACCTCCTGATAAGACCCTCAGCATTACAGCCAGACTGACCGCATTCAAACCTGGGTTTTCCCTGTATTTAAATAATCACAGAAATTATTATGGGTTCCTCACTTCCTTTTCCAGTAGTTAATATTCTGTTAAAAATGCAAAGTCAACACAGAAAATACACTGATGTATTAAGATGCTCTTTAACTCTAAATTTTCACAGTTGAAAATTTGTTTTTGGAAAGTCAACTTCAAAAAGAGTCACAGCGAATCTGTCGAAGGTAAATAAACTAAAATCAGCAGAAACAGCAAACATCCATGTAGTTTAATTCAATTAAAAAGAATAAAAGACATGGAATAAAATATTTTACATTTCACATTTGAAAGCAAAAATGATGCAGTGAAATTACAGACATTATCCTGAACATGTGAGTTTGTTGTGAATTAAAAGATTTGTGCAGCTTTTGTTTATGATGACTCTGTGTTTCTGTACATTGAGTATCTACAACTCAAATAAACATGTTTTGAAAGAGAGGAAAGATACAATTTATTCAATACGATTTTCATATTTATGAAAAATTAGATTTTAAATGAATTTAATGGCAAGAAAACTAGATAAAAAAATAAGAAGCAGAAAATACATGTGGAAAATCAACACCTCATTACTTTTCATCTGAATCAGAATAAAACTAGTTCTAGTTCTTTTTCTATTTTGAATAAGATTATATTTGAATCATATCTCACCTGTTTGAGCAATTGTTGGCACCACTTGGTGAGGGACGTCGGGGTCACTACATGGCCGCAGGACATCCGGGCTCTTGGGGAATCAAACCCTTCACACAGAACTGCAGAAGCATCCAGTGAGATCCTCCAGCATGTTTAAATACTGACTATACAAACTATACATGCTTTTAAACAAGACAACAAATGCAGTGAAAACTTGTCGCTGCAGCGCTGATGAACTGAAACGAGCCACTTACAGTCAAACTGATCCACTTCATCCACTAGTGGGATTGTAGAGTCTCTCGGGTTGTAGCGCTTAGTTTTATCGTTCATCTTGAAAAGTCTCCTGGTTTCTGCTGCGATGCTGAAAACAGTCAACTTTACATTGTATTTAGTCGAATAGAAGAAACTTTCGATTTCGAGCCTGGTTAGTCGTACGAGTCACGTGACTTTTGCTTCTGCAGAAACGCCTACAGGAAAAGACGAGCTGATGGATGGATGGATGGATGATGGATGGATGGATGGATGGATGGATGGGATGGATGGATGGATGGATGGATGGATGGATGGATGGATGGATGGATGGATGGATGGATGGATGGATGGATGGATGGATGGAATTAAATGAACGTCAGTGAAAAATCTCGACCACATAAAGAATAAATATTATGTTTCATTGTTCGCAACTTCATGAAAACTAACTGGTGTGAATATTTTGCAGTTTATTAAGAAGAATGAATAATCAGACTAATATCCTTTATTGTCCTTTCAGGAGGACATTTATGTGCAACAGCAGCAAAGTGAAAAACAAACAAATTAACTAAATTCACACACAGATCGTAATATTTGTTTTTTTTTTTTTTTAGCACCAAACATGTAAGTAATTATTCAAATTAAGCAATTTACAGTTATTTTCTCTCACCACTTTTTATTTTGCATGTGACGCAATATTTATGTTTTCAACGAAACTGAATTGATAAAAGTTTTACTTACAACAGACGATGGTGACAAAAAAAATAACAAAACCTCAGCAATTATTCATTTAAGAGAATAAGAGTTTTATATTGGTGACGTTTCCAGTAAACAGGAGGACATTTAAATACAGATCATTTTTACATCTTTCACAATTATCATGAGCTTGGTGATGATATTCAGTAATATATTATAATGATATTATCTCTCCAGTAAACAGGAGGACAGTGGATGCAGTGGAATCAGGTGTTCATTGTTCAGTGGATCAGAGTGGAGGGTCGTGGATGATCAGCTCCAGTCCTCCGTTACAGCGCATCACTGCGTGGATCTCAGATTTGTGCTTGATCCCGCAGTCAGCCAACATTTCTGTCTCCTGCAGAGTTTTTCCTTTGTAGATCAGAGACATCATCGTCACCGCTGCGACCGCTGCGACCGCTGCAAATATAAAATGCAATAAATCATCTTAAAGACCGACACTTTGCGCAAAACAAAAGCGAAAACGCAGTAAGACGATGTCCAAAACCAACAAGAGTGAATTTTTGTTTCTTAGAGAAATGCCCTATGAAACCTAAAATAAATAAAATCCTTTATATGAAGTAATGACAACATCAGGCAAAATGCATAACATCTTAAATTAGTTCAAACTGTTCAGAACAAATAACTGCGCATCTAAAGTCTGATATAAATGATATCTGTGGATTTTAAAACTGAAAATTGGCTTTTTAAACTACATGTCATGTTTTCATGTGCTCCATGTCTCAATGCATCTGAAATGAGAATTTCTCAGCAGGTTTATTTACCTACGTCACGGCGCAGCTCCTGCACTCTGTCTAAAAGAAACTTCACAGCAATGTGTTTAAGCTCCTCTTCGCGTTGACACACGCCGATCGGTTTCTTTAAGTTCTGTTCAAAACAAACGAAGACCTGGACCTTGCAAGCCATGGCTTCTTCTTGTGACGACTTTAAACTCTGCTCTGTAATTAAAGCTGCAATGTGAAGAGACTGAACAGGTGGGAGGACTTTATATAACAGAATTTGCTTTCATTTTTGTTCAAGGCGTGGCTTGAAATGAAAAATAAGAAAAAAAAAGTGGATCTGAGCAGGATTCGATAAAAACAAAACAAACAACAACCCTATATGCTAATTTATAATTCTTTGGTTTAATAATAATACAATTAAAATTACTTTTTTAATTTTTTCACTTAGTGAATTTATAAAGAAAGCTTTTGGACTTCCTCTTTAATCAGTATAAATAAAGTATGTGTAACCGGGTTCTGCTTCACACCACTGTACCAGGCCGACCCAAGTAACCCCTCGACTCTGCGTTGTGTAGATGTTTTAATGAAGACCAGGAGTTCTGGGTGAACAGGCAGTTTATTTCCTGAATGAGAACAGATCGGGTTGGAATCAATGCAATGGTTCAGCTTCCCTCAGCACACTCTCGTGCAGCTTCCATAGACTGGCACTGATTACAGTACATTAATATTTTAACATTCAATAAAAAAATACAATAATACATGATGTACCTGAATGAGAACAGATCGGGTTGGAATCAATGCAATGGTTCAGCTTCCCTCAGCACACTACAACAGAGCGTCATGTTGACTTTAACTTAGCACAGAAAGTGTTTTACAAAATATTAACAAAACTAAAAGTGCAAAATTGATGCCAGACACACAAATCATAAATAGTAGTTGCACACTATTGATGTAAGTTATTAAAAAATGATATTTTATGTGTTTCTAACACTTTTCCGTGCTGTGTGCTGAGGAATGAAACTCACCTCTCGTGCAGCTTCCATAGACTGGCACTGATTACAGAGGCCAGCAACATATAACCAGCCACACAGAGAGGAGGCGCTATTTCCCATTGCACTGATAATATATAAAGCAAGTGGGATTCTACAACATAAACTCTGTTACATTCCCCCCTGCTGAATTCCACTTGCAGCCCGAAATAAACAAATACAAATAAAAGAAACAACCCCATGAAAAAAAAAAAAAAAATCAGATACACCATAGCAACCAGAAGAGAAAAACAAGCCGAATGAACATTTTAGACAATTCCCCAATAGCATACGCACAGCCATCGAGGTGTGATGAATCTGCTCAGTAAATTCCAGGCATTACAGTTACAAAGAAAATCCAGTCAGACGACTATTCTCAAAAGAACCAGTGTGAGAAGAAGTTGGCCAGACCCCTTCATCACACATATGGGAAGCAGAAAAAAAAACATGCCCATTACATATTTTGTCATATTATAACCATACGCCATCCTGAGACAGACAGATGAAAACAAAAGCACTTTGTTGGTTCTGAAACACCATTGTCCAATACAAGTACAATAAAACAACTATATCTTCACCCTAACAAGACTCAAACTTTTTCAGTTTTCTGATGCATTATCTCGATCAATCGAGAAACAGGCTTAAGTAACCTCCCCACCCTCGATCTTTTGGAAGTCTCCACCGCCCCGTCAACAACAGTACGGTCTTCAGCAGGAACAACAATTTCAGCTGAGACAGGAACTGCAACTAAAGGCAAACAGGCTGGATCATGTTCAGCAGTGGTTGCTGCCTCCAAAACAGAAGAGCATCTACCTGGATCCATGGACATGACCAGGTCAGATCCTTGCTCATCACTGGTTGAATTTTCTCGCACATCAGTGCCAATAGCGGGAGCACAGCCAGAGGCCAGTTGATGGCCCACATCAGTGCCTTCTGGGTCAATATCCTCAGTCAGCAGGGCCTCACTGGAGGCTACAGATGGCAAGTCAGAAACCCAAGCTCTTGTCCTGTATTCAGCAGATGTTACAGACATGTCAGACACAGCATCTCCATCGCCTTCAGCTATCAGCGAGCCAGATTCAGAAGACACATCCACCCCATCCTGCAGCGCCGCATCCTCGACAGGGAGAAAGTTCACTGGCATTAACAGGTTACGATGGACAACCTTCACCTGCCCAGTGGAGACATCCTGCAGCTTAAAGGTGTGACTTGTGTCATTCTTGTCCACAACTGTATAGACTACATTCTCCCAGCAATCAGCCAGTTTCTCTTGCCGCGTCCCTTTTTGTTGGCTAGAAGAACACGGTCTCCAATCTCCACTGGAGCTCCCCGGACTTTACGGTTGTAGAGATCCGTGTGGCGCTGCAATTGTTTGCTCGCCATCCTTTGTGCAATGTCCATTGCCTCCTTGAGGTCTTTCCTAAGCGCCTGGACATATCGGTCGTAATCTGTGACGTCATGATGGTCAATGACAGAGCCGAAGACTATATCAATTGGGAGTCTCGGCACCCTGCCAAACATCAACAGAAATGGAGCAAAGCCGGTTGTTTCATGGATAGTGCAGTTGTATGCAAAGGTGAGGGCTTTCAGCACATCAGGCCATTTTTGCTTAGCTTTCGGGGGCAAGGCACGAATCATATTGCCCAAGGTCCGGTTCATCCTTTCACAAGAACCATTACCCATTGGGTGATATGGAGTCGTGGGACTTCTGGACACCAGCAACACTCAGTAGTTCAGAGATAAGTGCACTCTCGAAATTTGCTCCCTGATCAGAGTGTAAGCGTGCTGGAAAGCCATAAACGCAGAAATAGTTATGCCACAGTTGGTGCGCCACTGCCTTGGCAGACTGGTTGGGGCACAAAAAGGCATGCGCCATCTTTGTAAAATGGTCTGTGACCACAAGCACATCCACTGATTTGTTAGCAGAGTCCTCAGCTGACCAAAAGTCTATGCAAACCAGTTCAAGGGGCTCTGATGTCTTGATGTTCTCTAAAGGTGCTCTAGCCTCTGGCTCAGGGGACTTGCTAACAATGCATCGCTTGCAGCACCGCACATACTCTGCCACATGTTTAGCCATGCCAGACCAGTGAAATCTTTGCCTAGCCAGATAAAGGGTTCGTTGCTGGCCTTGGTGACCTGCCTCATCATGGACTCCCTTCAGTACAGCAGGACGCAGGGCAGGTGGGACAACATACAGGTAGGTTTTTGTCTTTGTTACAGTATTCTTGGCGACTCGATACAATACACCGTTTTTCACAGTCAGCTTGTGCCATACCTTCAGAAGTCTGTTTGTTTCAGTCGCTTCTTTGGCACGCTCTCTCCTTGATGG